TCAGATGGCCTATTACTGTAACTTCATTTTTATGAATTTTAGATCAGTACCATGATATTTATATACATATAATATCAAACTCTCAATAAAGAGATAACCGATTCAACACTGATGACAGATACTACACTGCTTACCAAAAGGACAGCAATAGAATATAAATCTTTGTACAGTTTCACTTAGTCTAGGCAAAGAGATTAAACTAATTTGTCATACTGCTACTGTACTAGAAAAGCAAGCTACAATTGAGGAAGAAAATTGATACAGGACACAGATACTGAGCCAATGCTCGAAAGTAACAGAGGCCAAATCAAATAATGCAACAAATATACTTATCCAACATTTTATCAGCAGGAACTCGAAATGAGTCTTCCCTTAGTAAATTGTCATAACTCAGTGTGCCTTATGATGTGTTAAAATTCCTGACTTATAAATTATGATTTGTAAAATACAGTCAGAAAGTATAGTTTACTCTGTTTTTAAATGTTAGCCATTGGTAGACTTTCATAATCATCAGGATATCTGATTAAACAAAACTTTCTGTGCTCAACCATGGTTCCTGAACCTGGATTTGCATTCATCTGAAAGGTAGCTAATAAGCTAAATATAATACAACAAAACAAATCAACTTTAAAAACAAACAAGCCAACAACAACCACAAAAAAGTACTTTCTGCGTGAGAACTAGTCTTCCTTTATAGCTTAAATTGGTGACAAGTGTTTGGTCATATCAGAAGTTTTTAGCGAAATAGGGGTATAAATTGTGAGAGAAAGTTTAAGTTTCCTTCCCTCCCCCAAACAAAAATAGCCTTAGCAACTGCATTTTTTTTTTTTTTATTTAGCAGCAGTAATTCTAAGCTGTTGCTTTTTATTGTGAATTTAGTGAAGGTTTACAGAGTAGATCATCAGTTTTACATTGACCAGATCGTCCACCTTGTTTCATCTCCATGACTGCAATCCCCTCCATGTACCAGCAGCCATCTCACTTCCTCCCTGTGGTCCTTATTTCCATTCCACCCTCCTGACCAACCCTTCTCAACTTTGTCTTTAGGTAAATGTTGCCCTTTCGATCTTGAATGGTTGACCTTTCCATTGTGAGCATACTTCACTGGTGGTATCTCCACATCTAACTATCTACCACCAGGCTAAAAACTGGCCCTTGAGTGTGAGCTCCATTGTAGACCGGAAGGGTGCCCGAGGGCCACAGTCTCAGGTTCCTCCAGTCTCTTTCTGATCAGGAAGCCTGGTTAAAAAAAATTATTTTTTTGTAGAATTTTGAGTTTTGTTCCACATTTTCTTCCTCTCTATCCAGGACCTTCTAATGGGATCCCTTTCAGAGCAGTGGGTAGTAGTAATCAGGTATCACCTAGTTCTTCTGGTCTCATGAAGACTAATCATCTGTCCTATGGTCCTTTGGGCTAACTGATTTCAAGCATCTTCAGTTTCATCACTCTTCTTTCTTCCACACATGGAGACATCAATAGCTGTACCTTAGATGGCTGCACATGAGCTTTTAAGATCCCAGCTGCTACTCAACAAAGTAGGACGTAGAACACTGTCTTTATGGACTATGGTATGCCAATTGACCATAGTGTCCCCTGAGACTATGGTCCTGAGCTCCCAGTCCCAGCAACTCGTTGCTTGAGGTGTTTGGTAATGTCTACCTAGCTTCTTCCCTTTCAGCACAAAAGGTTGTATCATCTGTTTATCCGGTTTGAATCTCTGGACAGAGAACTTCCAGAGGTTCAAGCCAGATTCAGAAGAGGATGTAAACTGAGGGATATCATTGCTGATGTCAGATGGATTGTGACTGAATGTAGAGAATACAAGAAGGATGTTTACCTGTGCTTTTACTGACTATGCAAAGGCTTTAGATTGTGTGGGTCATGACACGCTACGGACAACATTGTGGAGAATGAATATTCCAGAACACTTAATTGTGCTCATGAGGAATTGTACACAGTCCAAGTGGCAGTTGTTTGAACAGAGCAAGGGAACACCGAATGGTGTAAAATTAGGAAAGGTGTGCGCCAGGGTTGTATTCTTTCACCATACTTATTCAATCTGTATGCTGAGAAGATGGATTATATGAAGAAAAATGTGGCATCAGGATTGGAGAACTCTCACTGACAACCTGTAATATTCAAATGATACAACCTTGCTTGCTGAAAGTGAAGAGGACTTAAAATACTTACTGATGAAGATCAAAGACCACAGTCTTCGGTATGGGTTGCACCTCAATGTAAAGAAAACAAAAATCCTCAGCACTAAACCAATGAACAATAAACACAGAAATGGCGAAAAGATGGAAGTTGTCAAAGATTTCATGTTGCTCAGATCAACCATCAATAATAATGGAAGCAGCAGTCAAGAAATCAAACAACATATTTCATTGAGCAAATTGGCTGTACAAGACCTCTTAAAGTATTCAAGAGCAAAGACGTTCAGTTTGAGGACTAAGGTGTACCTGATTCAAGCCAGCAGATTTTCAGTAACCTCATATGCAAGTGAAAGTTGGACAGAGAATAAGGAAGACAGACTGTAGAAGATTTGATACATTTGAGTTATGGTGTTGGAAAATATTAAAAGTACCATGGACTGCCAAAAACAAAAAATAAAAAACAAAACAAATCCGTGTTGGAAGCCAGAATGCTCCTTGGAAGCCAGAATGGTCAGACTTTGTCTCTTCTACTTCCAACATATTATCAGGAGGGACCAGTCCTTGGAGAAAGAAAGGTAAAGTGGAGGATGGGAGAGAAAGAGGAAGACCCCCAATCAGATGGAGTGGCACAATGGCAGCAGCAATAGGCTCAGGGGTGAGGTTGGTGCAGAACTGGACAGCGTCTCTGTTTTGTTGTGCATAGTGTCACATGAGTCAGTACCGACTCAATGGCACCTAACAACAACAATGCGTTTTCATCATTTTGCCCCATATGCTCCACCACTTTCATAAGTGTATTTGCAGCGAAGGTAAATGCTGTTGTTACGTGCCGTGGAGTCGGTTCGGACCCATAGGGACCCTGTATAGGGTGTCTGAGGAGTGACTAGTGAGCGTAAACCAGCGACGTTGCGGTTCAAACCAACCTTGCAGCGTCACACCATGACTCCTAAGAGGTAAATTGTTGTTGTTGTTATGTGCCGTGGAGTCGGTTCCGACTCATAGTGACCCTGTACAGGGTTTCCGAGGCTGTAAATCTTTACGGGAGCAGAAAACCTCATCTTTCTCCCACGGAACAGCTGGTAGTTTCGAACTGTTGAACTTGAGGCTCGCAGCCCGATTCGTAAGCACCACGCTACCAGAATAAATACCCACATACAAATATCCTCCGTCAAACTCACATATTTGGGGGTATACTCCCATACTGGTTCAGCCTGAGAATCTGTCCATGTATCTACCTGCGGAACACTGCTTTTAAAGGGTTGTGTACACAGTAATATTTACTTCTAGCCCCTTTAGCCCCCGCTGCAAGTATCTTGAACGCCACTTAATAATACAGAGCTTTAATTTTGACAAAAGCAAGGGCAAATTTGATTCACAAATGTTCTTAGTTGTAAACGTACCTAAAAATGTTAATAAAGCCACAAAAACAGTGGGAAAGTCTTTTAAAAGATCCTAGTAAGACAATCACCAAATAAAATAATATTGATCAACAAGGTATTATTCAAAGCCATTATTATACAACTACATGGAAGAAACACCTTTCTACACATAGTGCATTAGAAGTTCACCATGGAGAAAATAACTGTATACGAGATCAATCAATCTGTTCCTGATCTAGGAACTCTGGCACTGAAAGCGTGAATAACACAAGGTAGTGATGTCGTCACCAAGGGAGGACAAGAATAGAACTCAAATCCCCTGACTCCCAAGCTTGTGTTTTCCACTAATTGTGCTCCTTTCTGCTCATCCGAGTGCATCCAGTGCACAGGGTTGGCGAAGGGAGTGGACACAAATGAGCCAAGTCCACGAGGTGGAAACGGCATTGAAGGTCCTAAGGCACCACCTTTTGGCTCTTTCCTTTTGTTTTGGCGGTGGAAGATGAAAGCAGCAGCAGCTACTACAAACCCTTGGGACCAAGAATTGGAACTAGGTACCGCCTTTCGTGGTAACTCTCTCTTCTCATCTTAGGCCTTTCCCTTTTCACCTGTCTCTTGCCGTCAAGCCCTAGCGTGCTCTTGACCTCGCTGGGTTCCCGAACCCGCTTCTGCAGCCCCCGCACATTATTTACCAGGCGTCCCCCCTAGTCAGAGGCAGCTGCGCGGCGTTCCCAGCCCAGTGGAGAGGTTCTAGGGAATCCTAGCGCCACACGCCTTTTCTCTAGAACGTTAGTAGTAATCAAGCATTTTATAAATATGTTTCAACTGGTAAGGAACTTAAGAGGTAGGAACGTGGGTATATATCAAGTGTACTCTTCGTGGGTCTAGGTAGCTCGTTACGACAAAGCAAAATTTAGAGTCTTTTCCTCTAGCTGGAAGCTCAATTATCCCCCGGGCAACGTCCCACAGAAGGATGCTATCCGTAGCGCGGATGTTTACTTTTCCAGACCCGGTAAAGACAGTCGCTCGCGCACCCTGGGGGCTTCTAAACCGTTACTCCGCCCGTCGGGGTGGGGCCAGCCCAACGGCCAAGCCTGCGCAGTCGGCCTGGCCGAATCTAGGATCTTATGCACTACAACTCCCATAAGGCAATGCTCCGCAGGGGCGGGAGGCTGCCTTATCTGCCGGGAGCTCAGGCTTTTGTATACTACCGTGTTCCCCCTCCGCTGTTGTACATGAGGATATGCCTTAGAAATCAGGACACTGAAGTCCTTCGCGTACTCGTTCTTTCTCTTTCTAGCGAACTATGTTTGATTTTCTTATCGGAGTGGGGCTGGGGAGGCGAGAGAAGGCAGTCCTTGGGGGCCAAAGCCGGTGAGTCGATCTCACTTCCGCCTTCCGGGATCCGGAAGGTAGCGCGCACGCGCTCCCTGCGACTCTGGCGCGGTTGACTTCCGCTCCCACTGTACTCTGCGAAACGAATCATGGATCACACTGGTAAGGAGGCGGAGGCAGTGGGGGTCCCAGTAGCATGCCCCCTTGGCCGGCCTGGGACCGTTCGCCCAGCGGGCATAGAGGGGTTACGCTCGCCCCAAAGCACTGAGGTGTGGCAGTGAGAAAACAATCTCACAGAGCTCCCTCCGTACCCGGCAGGGGCCTGCCGCTTCCCGGCCTACTCTCCGGTGCGGTAGCTATAGTCTCAGTACCGGCAAAAGCGCTTCTCTGGCTCCACTGGGCTCTGAGCTGGAGCGGCGGGCGGCGCGGGACTCGGGGGAAGGGGAGCGCGCTGCCTTTCCCCCCGTCATCCCGGTATTCCCTCCTGCGTTGGGAGGACTGGCGGGTAAATTCCAATTTCGAAGTAGGGGAAGCCTCGCTGCGCTCTCCGCTCCGCCTGGAAGTGGATGGGCCAATGGGTTGTAGACTTCCTGCTGTCTCCGTCGGCTTTAGGCGGGTGCTGCGGTGCTCACCTCGTTGTCTCTCTGGGCCTTCATGGACTAGAGTTGGAGGAAGGAGTCGGATAGAGGTTTCGGAATCATACTCGGAGAAGCTTCTCTCTCTCAGTCTAAAGCATACCCCGCGCTTCAGCTGTGGTCCTTATTGATGATTTGGAGACATTTACTAAGGAGAGCGTAGAATTAAGGCGTTCGCAGCCCTTTCTCCAAGTAAGACTGGCTCCACCCTTTTGTTATGTGTGTGTGTGTTTGTGTTTTTGTTTCGGTTTTCCTTTCTTGTGGTTCGTGGACATTTAAGATCCTTGGTGTTGTGTTAATCGTATCACAGGTAGGAGTGAAGACTTTGTTGTGTACGGAATAATTGGGATGTAAGTCTTCATCAAGTATTTAATTATATAATTACATACAGATCCGAGTGCGCGCACATGTGTGTATGCCTCAGAATAGAATGGCAAACAATATTTGAGTCCCTGCCCTCATGGAGATTACATTCCATGGGGGAAGTTAGTAAATTGGTTTTTGTTTTTTAAACTTTTTGATTTCTTTAACTTTTTATTGTGAATTGAGTGAAGGTTTACAGAGCAGATCATCAGTTTCACATGCAGCAAACCAGTCACTTTGTTTCATCTCAATGATTGAAGTCCCCTCCATGCAACAACAGTTAACCCATTTCCTCCGTGTGGCTTCAATTTCCATTCCAGTCACCGCCCCATCCCTTCTCTACTTTTTGATTTGGAATGATTGGTCATACCATGGAGGAGCATATCTGAACTAGCGCTGTTGTACCCCTTGTATACCTATTTACTGCTTGGCGGAAAGTTGAGCACAAGGATGATTTCCTTTCCAGACCTGAAGGATTGTCAAGGGCTGTAGTCTGTGGTTCTGCCAGTTTCTTTCTGACCAATTGTTACTAAGTGCCGTCGAGTGGGTTCTGATTCATGGTGACCCTGTATAGGTTTCCAAAGAGCAGCTGGTGAGTTTGAACCGCCTACCTTGTGGTTCAAACTGACCTTGATGTGCTTATCTTATAGCGCCACACCAGGACTCCTGAGAAATTAGTCTGGCCTTTTTTTTTTTTTAATTGAAATAAGTTTGAGTTTTGTTTCACATTTTCTCCCACAGTATTCTGAAACCTTGTAATGTGATCACTTTCAGATAAGTGGTAGTAGTAGCCGGTCACCATCTAGTTCTGGTTTTGGCGCCTGGAGCCTGATGTTCACATGTGCCAGTAGTCCACTGGGCTAATGGACTCCAGTCATCTTCAGTTCTCATCACTCTTATTGTTTTTGTACATGGGGAGCCTGATAGTTGAAGCTTGGTTGGCAGCTAATGGGCTTTAAAGCTCCCAGACACTACTATCCAAAGTAGGATGTAGAACATTGTTGTAGTGGACCATAATAAATAAGGTTTTTTTTTTTGTGTATTTTCTTTTATACTTAAAATGTTTACAAATTGTTTTGAAGAACGTAAACATGTGCTGTGTTAGAGGGTAATAGGACGGAACTTTAGAGGAGTGGTCGGGAAGATCTTTTTGCAAAGATATCTAAGCTAAAATCTGATAGGTGAGAAGAAATAAGCAGAAGGTGGAATGTTTTTAGCAAGTACAAAGTCTCTGAGGTAACAACTTAAGGCCAGTTGGCTGGAGCCTAGTTAGCAAGAGGTAAAGAACCTTAAGATGAAATTTGAAAGGAAAGCGGCAGGCAGGCTGTGTAGGACCTTGAAGACCAGGATAAATACTGAAATTTGATTGCAGCATGAAACAATTGTACTCTGGTGGTGATTGTTGTCATGTGCCATCAAGTTGGAACCGACTCATAGCGACCCCATGCACAGCAAAACGAAACAATGTCCTATCCTGGGCCAACCTCACTACCGCTGCCACACACGCGTCCCATCAATGATGCCACCTGGCCAATCCACAATCCATCTCGTTGGGGGTCTTCCTCTTTTTCTCTAACCCTCCATCTTACCAAGCATGATATTCTTCTCCAGCGACTGGTCCCTCCTGACAATATGTCCAAAGTATGAGAGATGAAGTTTAGCCATCCTGGCCTCAAATGAGCACTGCCTGCACCTCTTCCAAAACAGATCTGTTGGTTCTTTTGGCAGCCCATGGCACTTTTAGTATTCTCCTCCAACACCACAATTCAAAGGCATCAATTCTTCTACGATCTTCCTTATTCACTGTCCAGCTTTTGCATCCATATGAGGTTATTGAAAATACCATGGCCTGGGTCAGGTGCACCCTAGTCCTCAAGGTGACATCTTTGCTCTTCATCACTTTAAAAAGTTACTGTGCAGCAGATTTGCCTAATGTAATCCGTCATCTGATCTCTCGACTGCTGCTTCCGCGAGTGTTGATAGTTGATCCCAAAAGAATGAAGTCCTTGACAACTTTAATCTTTTCTCCGTTGATAAGAATGTTGTTTATTGGTGCAGTGGTAAGGATTTTTGTTTTCTTTTTTTCTTCAATGATTTATTGTGAATTATGTGATAGTATACATGGGAGAACATTAGTTTTACATTCATTCTATTGTATATCGTCTCATTGCCATGGTTACAATCCCCTCCATGCAGTCCTTCCCCCATGCCCCCCAGGTCTTCAGCACACAGTCGCTCTCCCTCTCTGGGTCTAGGATTTTTGTTTTCTTGACATTGAGTTGTAATGCATACCGAAGGCTGTGCTCTTTGATCTTCATCAGTAAATGTTTTAATGGGTTAAATGGTGGGATGCTAACCAGAAGGTCAGTGGTTCAAACCCACCAACTGTTGTGTTGGAGAAAAATGAGACTGTTTGCTCCCAAAAAGATTTGCAATCTCAGAAGCCCTATGGAACAGTTCGGTAGAGTTGCTATACAGTTCTGCTGAGTCAAAGTCAAATCAGTAGGTTGATTTGGTTTTGGCTTTTGTATGAAACTACTTAACAGGTAGAGGAGGAAATAAAATAGGCTGTTCCATGGATAATAGGATAAGAGTGGAAGGCATGAATAGTAGAAAACAGACAATTTAGGAGGAGCTTGCAGTAGACCAGAAGAGAGGTAAAGGTGGCTTGGTTTAGTGACAGTGAATGGAAGGAGACCTGGTCAGTAAATATTTTGGTGGTAGAACTCCGTGATGTGCTGATGGTTTGAAGTTATATGAGAGAAAGGAGAATGCCTAGGTTTCTGGTATAAGCAGCTGGGTAGGTGGTAGTGTCCATAATTGGACTAGAGAACACTTGAGAGAAAAATAGAAGTTTTTAGGGGTGCAAATGGGACATGGCCATTTAGGAACAAGAGTTTGATTTAAACTGCTAAGTTTGTGATGTATATTGAAGCAAATAAATGTTTTATGGATTCTTGGTGTGGTGCTATAGGATCAGTACTAGACTGTGAACTACCTACAAGGTTGGCAGTTCAAACCCACCTGCTCCTTGGAAAACCTATACAGGGTCATTATGAGTCAGAACTGACTCCAGACACTTAGCAGCAGCAGTAGCAACAACAAAAGTATCTTACATGATGCTATAGCAGAAATACACAAGTGAATGGCTTTAACCACAAGTTAATTGTTTATATGCTGCTGTAATAGATATACCACAAATGAATAGCTTTAACAAATAAATTCAGTCTTTCACAGTTTAGGAGGCTAGAAGTCCAAATTCAGGGTACCAGATCAGGGGAAGTTTTTTTTCTTTCTGTCAGTCCTGGGGAAAGGTCCTTGTCTCCTTGTAACATCTGTAGGCTGAGTAGAGATTTATATCTGTCTTGGCATTAATCTTCCTCTGGATCTCAGCATAGAGACCCAGTGTCCAAAGGATGCACTCTGCTCTTGGGACTCCTTTCTTGGTTGTAGGCAGGTTCCCTTTCTCTCTTGGCTTCTGTCTCATGTAAGATAAAAATGGTGGTGTGGTCTGCATCCTAGGGAAACCCCCTGACACAGGATCAGGGCTGTGACCTGATCAGGTCAGATCCACTGACACCTATTTTTGGGACACACAATTCATGACAAACAGAGAAGTCAAGTAGAAAATTTGGAGACCAGAGGAAAGATACAAGCAGAAAATATATACTAAGGAAAAAAAAGTTATGGAAAAATTGAATAGACAGATAATAGAATTTTTACACAAACTTTTTGAAGCTTCCTTGTATTTGAGAGACAATATCTTCTTGCGCTGGTAGCGTAGTGGTTACAAATTGGGCTGCGAGCCCGCAAGTTCAGCAGTTCGAAACTACCAGCTGATTCGCGGGAGAAACATGAGATTTTCTACTCCTGTAAAGATTTATAGCCTCAGAAACCCTATACAGGGTTGCTGTGAGTCGGATCCGACTCTCTGGCACATCACCACCACCACCACCACCACCATCTTGTTGTTGTTGTTAAGTGCCGTCGAGTCGGTTCCGACCCATAGCGACCCTGTACAGGGTTTCCGAGGGTGTAAATCTTACGGGAGTAGAAAGCCTCATCTTTCTCCCGCGGAGCAGCTGGTAGTTTCGAACCGCTGACCTTAAGGTTCACAGCCCGATTCGTAACCACTACGCTACCACCATCTTAGTGCTAAGATATTAAGGCACATTGGATCGGGATCATTCTAGAAGAGGTTTTAGAGCCCAACTTGAAAGAAACTCCAGTGTTTGAACAGTTTGTATAGAGTTGAAGCTTGGGATCTTGACGTATGAGTAAAACAATGTGAATAAAATATTACTCAAGTTTAGCCTATGTAATTGGGAATTCAGTCCCTTCCACAATTTAGAAGTTATGTTAGAAAATTGTAGTATGGAGGAGCAAGTGTCTTAATTATAGGAAAAGTCATCTAACATGAAACTCTTCACTGTTGAACTGACTGCTTAAAAAATTAGTTGCCCCTCAAATATTTCCTCTGCGTAACACTAGCGTCTATTCTTTTACATAATTTCTCTGTGAGTTAGTCTCTTTGATGTTTCATATTAACAGATAATGTCAAATGCTGTGTATGTACATTGTTAACTAAAATTACAATCCTTGTGAAAGATTGAGGTTTTCCTTTTCCATGTATCCTTTTTCATTAATTTTCTGGGATCAGTTATATATTAATAGAATGTAATAAGACTTTTAAAATCAGTCATTAAGGACTTCTTTTCAATTTTATTCCATATTTGTTCAGAAAGAGTGCAAATGAATGAATTTTAGACTTGTAGCTGTAATTTTAGTAGTCTTGGATTTAAGTACCATCTAGTCAGTTCTGACTCATAGCAATCTTGTATAGGGTTTCTGAAGAGCGGCTGGGGAGTTTGAACCACCAGCCTTGCTGTTCAAACTGACCTTGTGGTTCAGTGCTTCTCCTGAGCGCCACACCAGGACTTCTTGGAGTTCATTAGTACTAGTTTGTTGTTAAGTACCGTGGAGTTGGTTCCGACTCATAATGACCCTGCACAGGGTTTCTGAGTCTGCAAATGTTTACGGGAGCAGAAATCCTCATCTTTCTCCCGCTGAACAGCTGGTAGTTTCGAACCGCTGACCTTAAGGTTCGCAGCCCAATTCGTAACCACTACGCTACCAGAGCTCCTTGTTCAGAACATTACAGTCATTAAAAATTGTTTGCATTTTTTAAAATTTTAGGACATTTTCCTTTTTTGGCTTAGGTAAAGTTGAATTTTTTTCTGTTAGAGCTTCATATATTTGAGTCGAATCTTTCCTGCATCTAATATCTTCATATACGTGAAAAAGGTGACTCAGTCTTTTAAATACAGTGAGTTCTATGAAATAATTCTATTATTCATAGGGCATGAGTTAGTAATTTATTTCATAAATAATAAGGTACTTTTAGGAACTAGGAAATGTCAGTTGCTTAAACTGAAGTTGAACATAACATTTCCATTACATTGCTGACTAAGAGTAACTTAGTTATATGTGTATCTGTAGGAATGTTATAGCACAGATAATTTTCTGCATATTTTTAGTACTTTTGTTTTTAATTGCCGTTGAGTTGGTTCTGACTTTTAGCAACCGTATTGGGTTTCCAAGAAGTGACTTGATGAGCTTGAGCTGCTGAACTTGCAGTTCAAACCAACCTTGCAGTCCAGTGCATTAACCTGCAGCACCACACCAGGATTCCTTTTTTTAAAAAAGTACTAAATGGTGTAATAATTTTTACTGTATTGAACCATACAAGGTCAGCTGCTCAAACCCACCAGCTGCTCCTTATAAGCCTTATACAGGGTCTCTATGAATTGGAACTGACTTGAAGATAATTAATTAACAACAACATACTGAATTCTGGTGTGGCATTATAGGATGAGTACTGAACTGCTAACTGCAAGATCAGTGGTTCAAACCCACCAGCTCCTCCTTGGAATCCCATATAGGATTGCTATAGTTGGAATTGAATTAATAGTACTTAACAATATTTTACTCTTAGGGAGTAAGGAGTTGGAATGGGGTCAATGACACTTAACCACACCAAGGGAATAAGTACCTTTCTTAAAAGGAAATTATCATTGTAATTTTATCCTTTTTATTCGAAGTTCAGTTTGGCATGTCTTTTGAGAACCGGCTTTATATAATCAGAAATGGAGATTGATGTTAGGTGCCATGGTTAGTGCTGTTAAGTCACTTTGGACTCATACAACAGAAGGAAACACTGCCCATCCTCACAGTGTTGCTATGTTTCAGCCCATTGTTGCACCCACTGTGTCAGTCCATTTTCTTGAGGGTCTTCCTGTTTTTGGTTTTTTGCTGACCCTCTACTTTACCAAGTGTGGTTTCATTTTCTAGGGTTTGGTTCTGCCTCATAACATGTCCAAATTACACGAGACGAACTCTCACCATCCTTACTTCTAAGGAGAGAGTCTCTTAAAGTATTCTACATCTTCAGAAGGGCTAAGAAGCGTTGCTCTAAGGGTTTATCTAATATAAAGAAAATTGCTAGTTAAACTTGTATAATTATAATATTTAAAATCAGAATTCAGGTCTTCAACTCTTGGTAATATTAGATATGCTGCTTTCCTACCTATGGTAGAAAGATCTTCAGTAAGAAAACTAAAATTACAACTTTTTTCCCCCAAACAGATAATGACTTACAAGGCACTAACAGTTCTGGATCGTTGGGTGGTCTTGATGTTCGCAGACGAATTCCTATAAAGCTCATCTCCAAGCAAGCAAACAAAACCAAAGCTGCACCTCGAACGGCAAGGACTGTAAACAGGATGCCTGCCAAGGCTCCGACTGGTGAGGAAGGTAATTTGTTCAACTAACAGCTCCTGCAGTCTTTCTGTTGTATCACATTCCACCAAATAGCCCATGTGATCTTTATTTGTAGATACCACTTTAAGGAAAAGTTTTTGTTTGTTTAAACTTACTGTTTTCATCCTTCATTATTTTTTTTTTTCTAGACCTCTTATTTTGGCATGTTGTACTTTTTAAAATCAGATGTTGCTGTTGTTAAGTGCCATAGAGTCGGTTCCGGCCCATAGCGACCCTGTATAGGGTTTCCGAGAAGCAGCTGGTGAACTTGAACCGCCAACTTTGCAGTTTAAACAGCTTTGCAGTCTGGCGCATTAACCTGCAGCGTCACACCAGTACTACTTTTTATATATAACTGTCTTGTTTTCAAGGAATATATGTTTGAGATTTTTCCACATCAGTACATTACACAAATGTACTTAATTTTTTTTTAAAGTAGGTTTCAGTATTTTATTTTATAGATAAACTATAATTAAGATTTTTTGAAGTCATTTGCTATTATAAGCAATGACGCAGTAATATCCTTTTACTTATCTAACTTAATATACAGAGTTTTAAAATGTAGACTTTGTGTGAATTTTAGAGCTTGAAGAATGATTTTAGAATTTGTTATTTTTACCAAATTGCTTTTCAAAAAAATGTCTTTCCAGCATTGCACATTGTTATTGTTGTTGTAAGTTCTGTTGAGTTGGTTCCAACTCATGGTGACCCGGTATAGGGTTCCCAAGGAGCAGCTGGTAAGTTTGAACCACTGACCTTGCAGTTCATTGCATTATCCCATAGCACCATACCAGGACTCCATCATTGCCCACTATTAGCATTTAAACATTTTTGTTTTAAGTTTCTTTAGTACTATGGTTGTCTATCTTTTCACAGTATTTAGTATTTGGTCATTCCTTTTTTTTTTTTTTCATACCCACTCTACTCTTTTTTGAATGTCTATAAGTTCCACGGGAGAGAGACGAGGCGTTCTGCTCCCGTAAAGATTTACAGCCTCGGAAACCCTGTGCAGGGTCGCTATGTGTTGGAACCAGCTCCACGGTACTTAACAACAGTTCTTTGTAAATTAATAAAACTGGCCCTTTCTTTATGTACCTGAAGAACCCCTCAGTTGTATGAATGGTCAGTCCACTTAGCTGCTAACTGAAAGGTTGGTGGTTTGAGTGTAGTTGGGAGTTTACCCTGGGAGAAAGGCCTTGTACTCTCCTCCTAAAAACTCAGCATCGAAAACCCTATGGAGCACAGTTCTAGTGTCATGCACATGGGACGTGGGGTTGCCATGAATTGGAGTTTAATTGATGTAAATTTTTTTTACACACACACACACACTGATAAATTAGAAACTCCAACACAAAAGGAACAAAGAACAACTACAGTTCAAAGTCTGGGTATTCTTATAAATCATTTGTGAGTGCTCATAGGCTATTCATAACTTTAAAAAAACTTGTACCATTTAAAATTTTAAGTAAGAAAAATCTATTTTTCAAACCTAAGAGATTATTGAGCAGAATCAACAGTCAAGAAAATTAGAAGCGCAGACATCAATTTCCTATTTTTGAATTTATATATAAAATTCTACTTTAGAGCTGCTTGAAACTTTAATGAAGTCAGGTATCTGTGTCTTTCCCTTTATGATTTCTGGGTTTCATGACATTCTTTAGTCCTTCCCCTATTAATGAGTGTAAAACAGGTTCCCTATCTTACCCTTTTGTACAAGACTCACCACACTATGGCTTATGGACCAAATGTGGCTCTGTTTTTGTAAATAAAGTTGTATTAGAGCACATCCACACCTGTTCACTGAAGTATTGTCTGTCTGCTCTCACACTATGATGGCATATTGTGTGTGCAGATAACACACATACGTTCTGTTTGCCCCTTGCCTCCACACTCCAGTGTCCATATGTCAGTTTTTGTTTTTGAATGTTTTTAGATACTTCAGTTTCACCTCTGCCCTAGAGAGAGAGAAAAAAAAAGTTCAGTTTTTTTTCTTTAGGCATTGGTCAGAATATTCAGTTTGGATGCCAGTATGGTATTGCAAAAATGGTATGGAGGGAGCTGTCTGACCTCTTCTTCCTTCACAAAGGTAAAGGAGGAGAATCACCATCAGCATCAACTCAAGACCAATGCCTATGAGGCTGAGGTCAGACCTGCTTCCAGACTCCAACTTTCCTTACCAATTCTGACACCAACCATTGCTTCTACCTCCTACAGCACTCTCTACTTCTCTGCCGGGTTCAATAGCTCATTGCAGTGGCCACACAGAACTCTCAGACTAGACTCATGATTATGGAGTTTATTAGGAAAGTTAACAGATTACAATTCAAGGTTGGTAATGTTCAGGATTGAGTGCATTGGTTACGACAGCCTCTTCCATGCTATGTCCGAAAGCGGACCTCTCTTTGGTCGCCAACTCAGCTTCTTTGGCTCTGCTGATAAATGTCCAAAGGGTATACACTCTGCCAAAGCTCTCAGCCTGAAGGTGCTCCACTCCAGCTCCATGAGTAAGCAAACCTAGCCTCCCCAGTTAGTGCTGGTGGAGGCACCCCACTCCACAGCGAGCCTCCTCAAAGCCATTTAACTTTGCTTATTCACGGGCCAGAAAGTCCTCGGTCTCTCACAATGCTCTGACGCTAGGTTCTGTGGCTGCTGCTCCGTGGCTACTCATTGGCCACTTCTAGTGTCACAGCTTTCCGTCCCTGAGTTGAGGCTGAATGTGCAGGAATCTTGGGGTCCAAAGGATGTACTCCCTCCTGGTTCTTCTTTCTGTTTGGTAGTGAGATATCTCCCCTGTTGTACCATCAAATCGATTTTGACTCATAGGGACCCTGCATAGGGTTTCCAAAGAGTCGACTGATGAGTTTGAACCGCTGACCTTGTGGTTCAAACCGACTTTGTAGTTCAGTGCTTTATCCCACAGTGCCACACTGGGACTCCAAGATCCCCCCTACTGCCTCTGAAATGGCTTATTTTCAGCCCAACTGGATGGCAGAATTGACCGATTCCCTCATTAGAGTTCCAGGTTTTTACAATCACAATTGCCCTGTTAACAGTTGTGATTACAGTTGGATCACAGTCCTATCAGCATCTTCAGCCCAACTTCTCTTACCCATCAGGAAAAAGTGTTTTGGTGGGAGTTACAAAGACTGTGGCTGGAAGAGACATTACATAATTCACTACACCATGGCTATCTATGCAAGTATATGATGGGAGTACAGGTTGAACTACTCTGAAATTGATGACTGCACTTCTAATTTTCTTGACTGTTGATTCTGCTCAATAATCTCTTAGGTTTGAAAAATAGATTTTTCTTGCTTTAAATTTTAAATGGTACAAGTTTTTTAAAAGTTACAAATAGCCTAAGGGCACTCACAAATGATTTATAAGAACACCTCGACTTTGAACTGTAGTTGTTCTTTGTTCCTTTCGTGTTGGAGTTTCTAATTTATCTGTGTGTGTGTATACACACACACACACACACACACACACACACATATGAGTGAGGCTTAAGTCAAAAATATTAGCTATAAAATCCTTCATTAAACAAAAATAGCAAAATGTGAAGATAACTGTTTCTTGACACATACTCCATCTAGGTCTTCTAAAAGTCATGTTTCCATCTCTCTAACCTTTCTTTGAAGAATTCCATACTCTCTAATGTATACCATGTAAAAACAGCAACTTCTTGAGGGACTTAAATTGTCCCTTAACATTTCTTTTAAATGTTCATTGAGTTTTGTGAACAAAAAGCAGTCTAAAGGGGCAAGATGAGGACTGTAGGATAATGCAGCAAGATTTCCCAACCACATTCTCCTAGGACAGCCTTTGCTGCCCAGGAAGGATGAACAGCTGGTTTCATGGCACAACTTTTCTCTGATCCCAAGTGGAGTTTAGTTTTCTTAAAACGTTTTCATAATAAGCCCCTATGAGTGTGTTGTTTCTTTTTAAAAAAAAAAAAAAGCTGTCAAGATTACGGCACTGAAAACCCAAAAACAATCCCCATAGCCTTCCAAGCTGATCTCTCTTCCTTGAATTTAACTAGTCCAGCAGATCTCTTTGGAAGCCACTGTTTTGATTGGGCCTTTTTTTTTGGTCTGAGGAGACTAAGACAACAAGTATACTCCGGAGAGAACTTGTCTGCAGCCATCCACTGATCACAGAATAATGTTTAAACATGTTTTGTTTTGAATAAATCCATGAATGTATGAACTGGAACCCTAGTAACAATACTTTTTGACTTAGCCTAATTCTCGGGTACTGTAATTCAGTCATGGGTAAAGTTAAAACTTATGTGTGGTGCTGTGGGTTAATGAGCTGGACTACAAAGTTGGTTTGAACTACAAGACTGGCAGTTTAAGCTCACCAGCTGCTACTTGGAACCCCTATACAGGGTTGCTATGGGTTGGAACCGAGTCGATGGCACTTAATAACAACAAGAACAACAAAGTTAAAACTTGTGTGCTTTGGTTACTCTGTTTACCAGGTCTAGGGCCAAAAGAGTCAAGAGAAGTCTGGCACCTCGGAGAGATAGATTTGTCTTCTCAGCTATACTTTAGGTATTTGGATTTTAACATCAAACTGTTGGTTTTCTCTTCTTCTGGATGAGATGAGAGGATTGCCTACAGCTTTTTAAGCAGGCCAGAGTAATTGACCTCATATGATCTTCATCTTGTTTTCCATTCATTGACATTTATGTGTGCGTAGTACGGGCTGTGAACCTTAAGGTCAGCAGTTTGAAACTACCAGCCGCTCCACGGGAGAAAGATGAGGCTTTCTACTCCCGTAAAGATTTACACCCTCGGAAACCCTGTACAGGGTCGCTATGGGTCGGACCCGACTCAATGGCACTTAACAACAACAACAACAAGTATGGTAGAAGATACTTGTAAGTAGATCAGATATGACTCTTATCTTTGTGTGATAAACCAGAGGAGGGTTGAAAGAATGAAGTAGGAATATATTGATGTTTGTAAAATTAGGTTCAGTTTGGAGTTAAGACACCTGATTTAATCAATTATAAAACCGTCTGTAGGATTCTTTGTTTCTTTTTTGCAATAAAATGACTCCTGCAGTATGATACTACTTTTTTAGATAGATTACAGTAAATGGTTATCCATTTCTTTAAAATTTGTGCAGCATGCATGGAGGTAAACAGTAAAATTTAATTCTATAGCGGGTATCTTAGTGAATTGATAAGATCTTTTGGTTGGGAGTCTGTTCCTGCCTATGGCTCTGATCTATATGTTGAGTTATTGCAAGTCTCCATACTGTATTGTTTTCAGTTTTGAAAGAGATTTACATTAGGTGATTGGTATTTTAAATTAGTCTTGATTAATCAGCTTGTTCTCTAAAGAGGTTTGAAAGGAATCAGATGGGCTGTTCAGTTAATGGACTATTTTAACTCCATAATGAAATTTGAGATTTGAAAAGTTAATTGGGAAACACTTTTCTTTTTTCAGAAGGATTTGATTATAATGAAGAAGAACGGTATGACTGCAAAGGGGGTGAGCACTTTGGAAATCAGCGACGATTTCCAGGACACCTGTTTTGGGACTTTCAGGTATAACTGTAAATAAAAATTAAAACATTTAATTAGAACATTGTAGAATACATAAAGAATGCCTAGTGTGAACTTTTGTTATAGCTGTGACTTTTAGCACACACAAAACATTTGTTTATTAATGCTCTGTTTCCACTGTTCTAAAAAATTGAGGTAATTTATAGTAAGGTCAAATAAAAGCAGTAATGATACTTTATAAACAAAATAACCAAACAAATGGCTCCACAGCTAATGGTGGGGAATATGTGTAGATTATACTAAAAAGTTGTTTCAACAACTTCTTTCTTGTTCAAACTTTTTAAAAAATGCTAGTGAGTTTACTGTGTAAATTATAGTTCTAAAATTTATAATTGCATTAAAAGGAAATTTTAATTATCCATTTCAACAGATAAACATCTTAGGTGAAAAGGATGATACACCAGTACATTTCTGTGACAAATGTGGATTACCTATTAAAATCTATGGGCGAATGGTAAGTATAACTCAATTACATTATATTTGCAAATGTAAGCATTTGGTTAGAACTAGGACTTTGAAAATTAAGTAGATGGGTTTATCATTGTTTGTTGTTGTTGGGTGCCAGAGAGTTGATTCCAACTTACAGTGGCCCCACGTGACAGTAGAATTGCCTCCATAGGATTTCTTGGCTGTAACCTTCATGGAAGCATATTGACAAATCTGTCTTTACGCTCAGAGCTGTTTGGTGGGATTGAACTGCTAACCTTTAGGTTAGCAGTCAAGTACTTAACTGTTAACACCATCAGGACTCCTATATCGTTGTTTAATGATTTTAAATTTGTGATGCTTTAAGTGAGTATGAAATGCTGCTGTTGCTATTAAGTGCATCAAGTCAGTTCTGACTCATAATGAACCCTGTATAGAGTTTCCAAGGAGCAGCTGGTGGGTTTGAACTGCTGACCTTGCAATTAGCAGTCCAGTGCTTTTCCTACAGCACCCTAAGGGAAATTCTGGAATAATGGGATTTTAATACCATTATCTTGGTTGTGGTATTGGAGGAGAATACTGAAAGTGCCATGGACTGCCAAAAGAACCAATAGATCTGTTTTGGAAGAAGTGCAGCCAGAGTGCTCCTTGGAGGCCAGGATGGCTACGCTTCATCTCTCATACTTTGGACATATTGTCCGGAGGAAACAGTCGCTGGAGAAGGATGTCATGCTGGGTAAGGTAGAGGGTCAGAGAAAAAGAGGAAGACCCCTAACAAGATGGATTGGCCAGGTGGCATCATTGATGGACTCAAGTGTGGCAGCAGTAGTGAGGTTGGCCCAGGATCGGACATTGTTTCGTTCTGCTGTGCATAGGGTCGCTATGAGTCGGTTCCGACTCGATGACACCTGACAACAACAACAACAACAACATCTTGGATAAATTCTTGGGTTGCTTATAAGATAATAAATTAAGAAGACTAGCATCTGAAATCTAAATAATTTTCTTTGCAGAATAAAATTAGTTATTAATTTCTGATGGCTATTAACATAAGAAAGCAAATAATATGTGTGACTTCTGGAAATTGAGCTATATTTTATATGGCCTTAACTATAATTTTACAGTAATTTTGACTTATACTTCCTCAAGAAAAGATAGTTTTGTATTTATATTTAAATTTAAAAAAATTTAATAATATCAGTGATGGTAGGGTGTGAATTAGACATTTTTTTTCTATATATTATGGCACTTATGTACTGGACTATAATATTGATTTTGTAACATTTTACTGTTTCCTTCTGATTTGTTTTCAGACTTTGTGAGTTCATTAGCTTAAGAGTACTAGGGAACATGCTACTTAAATGTAGGTGATACTTGCTACTTCACTGATTTGGAGTATTTCAGGGGAAACCAAGTAAGATAAAACACACTTGTAGTACTCTTCATCAGGAGTAAATAACTGTGGTTCATGGATGAAATGTTTAGGTTTCCACCTCCAGAAATAGTAAGCCAATGTGCAGTATTGGGAAAGGACCAGAGCATTTCATCCGATTCTCACGTCTTTGTGACAAAAAGAGCATTACTTTTATATTGTTAGTATTTAATAAATGTTCATCTATGTTTATACTCAGGCTCTTCTGTGTGTACTTAATAAAGTTAGTACTTAATAAATGTTCATTTATTGAGTTCTCAAGGGTCTTCTGTATGTGGGTCACTGTGCTTGCTGCTATTTCTTATTGGAAATTTGAAGGTGTTCTAGTATGCTTAACTGTACTACATCTCTGTTCACAGATTCCATGCAAGCATGTTTTTTGCTATGACTGTGCTATCTTACATGAGAAAAAGGGAGATAAGATGTGCCCAGGGTAAGATCATTATTACATTATTAAACAAACGATTTGTAATTTGGGTTAAAGCCAGGGTGTGCTGTTATCTAGAGACAGGGTATCACATATAGGTGGGGTAAGCACTGGTCTGCTAGCCACACAGTCAGTGGTTCAAACCCACCAGCCACATCTCAGAAACCTTCTACAGGGTCCCTTTGAGTCAGAATTGACTCGATGGCACTTCACAGCAGCACGCCACCAGTCTCTCTCTGCCCAGGTCTGGCTGTAGTCTTCTTCTAAAGAAGCCACTCCCAGCCACTTGTATTATCTGTATGACACATGCTTCCTTTGTCTATAAAATGGGATAGTAAAAATAACTACCTCCCAAGGTTGGTGTTTCAAACCCACCAGCCACTCCTCAGAAACCCTGTACAGGGTCACTATGAGTCAGAACTGCCTCCATGGCACTTAACAGCAACAACAACAACAAGGTCATTGTTAGGATTAAATGAGTTATAAGTACGTAAACATGCTGCAGTTAAATCAATTCAGACTCTTAGTGACCCTATAGGATAGAGTGGGATAGAATTACCCCATAAGATTTCCAAGGCTGGTAGCATAGTGGTTACGAATTGGGCTGAGAACCGCAAGGTCAGCAGTTCGAAACTACCAGCTGTTCTGCAGGAGAAAGATGAAGATTTGCAGCCTTGGAAACCCTGTACAAGGTCGCTTGCTGTGAGTTGGAACTGACTCCATGGCACATAACCACCACCAATCTTTACAGAGGACTTCTGGTGTGGCATTGTAGGATCAACACTGGACTGCAAACCACAAGGTTGACAGTTCAAGCCCACTAACTGCTCCTCAGAAACCCTATACAGGGTCACTATGAGTTGGTACCAATTCGATGGCCCTTCACAACAACAGCAACAACGATCTTTACAGAATCAGACTGCTACAGCTTTCTCCTGAAGAGTGCCTAGTGGGTTTGAACACTGACTTGTTGGTCAACAGGAAAGTGCTTTACTATTGCATCACCAAAAGGGCCCTTAAGAGAGTACCTTGTTGTTAGTGTTGTAGAATAGGTTCCAATTTATATTGACTCTATCTAGGGTTTCTGAGGCTGTAAATCTTTATAGAAGCAGAAAGCCTCGTCTTTCTTTCACAGTGTAACTGGTGGGCTTGAACTCCTGATATTGTGGTTCACAATCCAGTGCCTGCAGCACCACCATGCACCCCTCAGTAATACTTAGCATATAATAAACACTGAAAATATACGGTCTTATTTTTTGTTTTCACATGTGATTATTATGTCTTTGAATATATTTTAAAACACCATCAAAACATACTCAGCGAAGTCTTGGAAAGTTACAGGTATTGGTTGAAATCAATTCATTTTGGAAGAGCACTTGTAGGATCTATACTAAACTGGAACTCTTTATAGCAGTTTTGAGCCCTTGATGAGGAAGGCTTGAGAGAAGCTTTGAGAGAGGCTATTTTTTAAAACTTTTTATTGTGAATTGAGTGAAGGTAAACAGAATGATCATCAGCCTTACATTCACCTAATCATACATTGTGTTTCATCTCAATAATTACACTCTCCTCCCTGTAATAACAGTTGTCCTGCTTCTACCCTGTGGTTTCCCTTTTACATCTTATTTTTTCCAAATGAACAAAGGACAAATATTTAATGTACACATCCAAAATAAAACATAAAATGTATATTCATTTAAATGTTCAAAGTGCACATTTTGCAAGCAAGCCTCTGGCCTACAGCCACAGAGCCTTTATCAGTCTGTGGGCTTAGAGCCCACAGATGCTCTGAGAGAGGCTTTCTTGGAACCACTGTAGGCACCTAGATTCCTTATGACTTGTGCCTGAAACTGGCTCTAGATTTGTATCATTGGTTGGTAGAGGAGCTACAGCAGATTATCAGGGAGGATTCCCTCTTAGGGTATCACTGACTAAGAACACATGGTTTCTTGACAACTCAGTAACAACTAATTTTCTTGGTATAGTTATGCAGATTTTTAAAATATCAATTCTGTTAAAAACTCTTTAGACTCTCTACTGTGAGTTTAATGAAGGCTTTCTTAGGATTATAATTCTGAAGAATTAGGAAATGAAACATATACAGTTATTTTGAGGGTTTTTAAAATTTTAAATGTCTAATTTTCTTACACAGTGCTCATTAGCCTATTTGCATTGTAAACATGATTGCTTCATTGGGATAAAGAATTTCAGATGTGATAAACCCTATACAGGGCAGACATTAAAAGGTTTTGTTCTTCTAGATAATGTTCTAATGCTCATATTTAATAGGAAATTTCATATTCAAGGCATTAAATGTAACTGCAGCTAAGTGCTTGCTTTTATGGCCCTTATCTATCTAGAACGTAAATGTGTCTGAATTAACCACCACCAGATTAGGGAATGAATGGAAACAAATCCATGTGGCAGCCATGACAATGCTTATGTTAATATTGAGCACTGCTGCTTTTAAGTGTTACCTAAAAGAAAGCACATCACCGCCTGAAAAAACAATTGTATTTTTGAGCTTACAGTGAATTACAAGCAAAAACTGAGAGGTGTGCCTAATGACTACTAAAGGGAAGCCTACTAGCATCAAGAAGAAATGCCAACCTTATAGTAACAACGATGGAAAACAAGGCACAACTCAAAATCTAGAGTAGGGTGCTATTTCATGATAGTTTCAAATGGTTTGACATATTGATTGATAATGATGTTAAGTACTGTGGAATCGGTTCCAACTCACAGTGACCCTGCACAGGGCTTCCAAGGTTGTAAATTGTAAATCTTTACGGGAGCAGAATGCCTCATCTTTCTCCTGCGGAACAACTGGTAGTTTCGAACTGCCGACCTCGAGGTTAGCAGCCTGATTCATAACCACTGTGCTACCAGAGCTCCTTATTGATTGATAATAGCTTATCATAATACGTAATACTTTACAGGTGACTTGTATTGCCCTTTTTTGGGTATTGACATTTTCATTGTTAAATTTGATCATAAGGTTAATCTTTTAAGTAAGGAGAAATTGATAAGCAGATTGTTAGGTTGTGTAGTCATTTTAACTTCATATTAAGACGAAGTAAACCCAGAGAGTAATTATTTCTCCAAGATTACAAGAGCCTACACTAGACCCCAGGTTTTCTGATTCCTAGGTCAGTCCTATTGAGCTACTATATAAAGCAGACTCTGAAGGCCAAAAGTGGATTAGTGAAATAGTCATAATTTTGACTTTGAGTCGTTAAGAAAAGATTAGTTAAGTAAGTTAAAGTCTGGGACTGATAACTGCAAGGTTGGTGGTTCAAACCCACCAGCCATTTCTCAAACCCTATATTGGATTGCTATGAGTTGAAACCGACTCACTGGCACTTAACAACAACAACAATTTAGAGAGGTAGGATGGTGTATAGTACATTTTAGTTGTAAACTTATCTGACAATTCAGAACTGAGTCCTGTGCATCTCTTAGTAATCAAGGTTTGGATTTAAATTGTTTCTGTCAAGAACCTTGATGATTAGGCTGATCTTAACTCAGCTTTGTATTTCTTAAGGCACCTTCTACTTAGTGTCTTCCACTGAGTATTTGCTCAACAAATAGTGACTGTTCACTGGGTTCTGTGCAAGTTTGAATTCCACGATTATAAGTGATCAATTCTCTGGTTTGTCTTTCCTAGATGTCATGCACATAGAGGCAAGCCATTGGATTATTTGAGAAAATTAAATAAATTTTAGGCCTGAGGAAGAATAAGGTCTTTGTTTAAAAACATCCTTTGTTTGATAAATCTTTTTAGTTCATTCTTGTATTATTCTGAGTTTGGCAGAAATAGCTGGTGTTTAGCCAGCAGGTGACAAGATGGGAACAATTAAAGTTTCACTTAGGATAACTATGATTTTCTGTTGTGAACTTTTGCTTTAGTTTATCCAGGAATCATATTTTAAAAGTAGATGTATCTCTGAAACTAAGTGCATTATTTTTATATTATGTTTTCAGTAAATCTGCTTTTTCCCCCTTTCTAATTTAGCTGTAGTGATCCTGTGCAGCGAATCGAGCAGTGTACACGAGGTTCTCTCTTCATGTGTAGCATTGTTCAAGGGTGCAAGAGAACGTATTTGTCTCAAAGAGACTTACAGGCTCATATCAACCACCGTCATATGAGAGCTGGAAAACCTGTTACCCGGGCATCACTTGAAAACGTCCATCCTCCTATTGCCCCCCCACCAACTGAAATCCCTGATCGGTTTATAATGCCACCAGACAAGCACCATATGAGCCATATCCCGCCAAAGCAACACATCATGATGCCACCACCTCCTTTGCAACACGTGCCACACGAGCACTATAATCAGCCCCATGAGGATATTCGTGCTCCTCCAGCAGAATTGTCCATGGCTCCACCTCCACCTCGGTCGGTCAGTCAGGAAACCTTTCGTATTTCAACAAGAAAACACAGCAATTTAATAACTGTCCCTATTCAGGATGACTCAAGTTCTGGTGCTAGAGAAGCACCACCTCCTGCCCCAGCACCTGCTCACCATCATCCTGAATATCAGGGTCAACCAGTGGTATCTCACCCTCATCATATTCTGCCTCCACAGCAACATTATGCACCACCCCCACCTCCTCCTCCCCCAATAAGCCATCCAATGCCACATCCTCCCCAGGCTGCAGGTACTCCTCACTTGGTGTATAGCCAAGCTCCACCTCCACCAATGACCTCTGCTCCACCTCCAATAACCCCTCCCCCTGGACATATTATTGCCCAGATGCCACCTTATATGAATCATCCTCCTCCAGGACCTCCCCCACCTCAGCACGGTGGCCCACCTGTAAGTGCACCCCCTCCTCACCATTACAATCCTAACTCTCTGCCCCAGTTCACTGAAGATCAAGGAACTCTGAGCCCTCCATTTACACAGCCAGGGGGAATGAGTCCTGGTCTATGGCCTGCGCCAAGAGGGCCGCCACCGCCGCCACGGATGCAGGGTCCGCCTTCTCAAACCCCACTTCCTGGACCACATCATCCAGATCAGACAAGATACAGACCTTATTACCAATGATAATAGTGTTTTGAACTGAAGATTTAATGAGGGAAGAAAAAAAAAAAATCAACAACTTATATATAGGCAACCTTTGAATTCAGCTTTGACTGTTGGGGGAAGGAAAAGCACTTCTTACAGAGCGGGCTATAATACTCACTAGGGTCTTGTCTTTCAAAATGGTCTTCATCCTTGACTTTAGGACTGATTTCAAGTACTATGGTGTAGTGCAGATAAATGGCTCAGTTGAGCACAGCTATATTTTAACAACTTTGTTCTTCTAGTGTGGTAATTTGACCCAGAGGTGACCATTTGTAATATTATTTCCTGAAAACAAGTTTTCATTGTCCACTTTCAGAAGTATTACTTTTGTTAAACCCAATCTTTAGTTTTTCTTGTGATACATTTTTGTTAACCTGTGTAAATGGATTAAATTTCAGTATGGTTGTAAAAATGCTATTTTTATGTGAATTTAAGTGCAGCCACAAACTTTTTTAAAAAAAAACTATATGTTTTACCACTAATTCTCCAAAGTTACAATAAAATTCTTCCAGTGAAAATCTACTAGAATTTACTGTAAGGCAGACAGTTAAATGGCAGAAAATGATTTCACATTGTTGGCACTGAAAGTTTGAGGTATGGGAAGCATATCATGCACTTCACTTGGATGCCTTTTCATTTTGAGGCAGCCTTAGGAGAGCACCAAAGTACATGGGAATTCAGTACTAAGATGTGTTTGTACAATTAAAATGCATTACTAATTACTTGGAAGGACACAGCAAAAGTGACTGATTTGTAGGCTCCAAGCTAGTAGAGGCTGCTGTTATTCAGTCGGGCTTTTTTACTGAATGATTGGAATCACATAATGCACCATATTTATTCATTTATGTACCATTACTACTGTTTCAATGGTATCATTTAGGTTTCAAGTGTGTCCTACTCTTTTCATTGTGAGAAAGTAACTATTTAGGGTAGAATCGGCTTGGTATGATTCCTCATTTCATGGTAGAGTTTGAGCCTGTGCTTAAGTGGTTTCTTGTTTATTGGATTTAAACTATAATTTGAATGCTATGGAGGAATTTGTAGAGTATATTAATGAAAGATGTTATAATCACAAACTTGCATTTGCTCAGGTCTCATTACTGTATAATAAGGTTTCCCCTCTAACTTGAAATTTAAAAACCTTTGTTTCTTAATTCTTATGTTGGAGCAGTCTAAACTCGGAATGTTTCACCATGAAGTTAACAGTGAAGACTACCAGTTGATTTTTTATTGGAGAAAAGTAATGACTAAATTGCAAATTTCAGTGCTTTATAAGGTGCCTTTAGAGTCAGCTTTTGCATTATAGGGGCTTGTTAAGTCCAGCTAAGATAACCACTTGCAGTTTATACAGAACTCCTGTGTATAAATTGATATTCTTAGGATACTATTATATGTCCTTTGAATAAACCCGTGACGGTTCCCCCCTTCCCTAAAATGGTGCATAATATGAACATGAAATGTGTAGTTTGCAGATTTCATTTATTAGATAGTTTGTAGTGTCAATTTAGAAACTTTCATTTTGGCGAAGGATCCACTGATTGCTAATTTATCATTTTATTCTGTGGGGTACAGGCAAACCAGATTCCCAACTTGGATGATCAGATGCAAATGGCATCTAAAGCTTAGAGCTGAAGTTAAAAATAATACAAATGGTCTTTTCAACCTTTGACCAGTTCAAAATAATTAATACACTTAAAAAATAAAGGGGTTTTTCACGCCTAGCAATTTGAGAGTCCAGTGTTAATGCAATATTTCTAGTGAGAAATTCTTGTTCTTAGAAGCGTGGGAGTGAGATGTATGAAATGTTGATGGGTGGTGAATGCTTCTGTCATTACTGTAGGTACTTGGACTGGTACAAACTTGATTCTCTTTCATGTCCCTGATTAGGAGCTATTAAAATACCATATTTTGTTTCATGTAATAAGGATATAGCCACATTCACTCAAGACACTTGCAACTATGAGGCGCTAGCTATCCTGTTTGTATTGAAATTCACTAGGGTTGATTGTGGTGTAAGACCCCTTAGTCAGTCTATGTATTGGACAAAAATAGCAGTATCATGATAAAATTCCACATTTCAAGACAAGTTGGCTTTAAAAAAACAAAAACTTTTTTCCGTTAGGTTTAAGAAATACGTGTTATGCAGGGAGGCATATCAGATGAATGTGTTGAAGCAGACAAAAATTTTAAATGGTTATTAGACTTGAATTCCTCCAGCTTTTGTTTGAATGAGGGTGGGTGGGTAGAAGGATAACAAAATTACTGTTAGTGTTTCTTTCCTTAAAGAAAAAAGATGTGAATACCAGCCTTATTTCAGGGAACCTTTGAAACTATGACAGACATAAGTCTAAATTCAATGTATGTATGTTTCATTATATTGCTCTTAAGACTACTGAGGTGGCAGTTTAATTCTTAAAAACAATAAAATGGAAGCATAAATACTGTTTTGCCTAGGTGAATTTTTGCCTAATGATAACATTTGGGAGAATGCAGAATTTTCCATGTTTATGTTGCTACAATTTGTACAATAAATTTAGCATACCTGTTTGGATATTAAAGCCATCAAAGTTGAATGTTAAAGGTATTTAGTGGCATATTTGTTCAGAGTATATAATATTTTGGGAGAGATTAGTTGCAAACACTGTAAGAAACTATTAATATATCCATTTTTGTCATTTATAAATCTGTTGCTCAAAAATATTGCATAAATACTACTTAACAGTACACTGAAAGATAAATGGAAGAGGTATTAACATAGTTTTAAAACAAAAATAAAAGTAGGTGAGGGAAACTCGTAAATATCTAAAACAAAAAGTTTTTAAGTGCTGTCAAGTCAGTTCCGACTCATAGCAACCCTGTTGAATAGTGTTTCTGAGGAGTGGCTGGTGGGTTTTAACTTTGACCATCGGTTCAAACTTAACCTTGCATTTTCCTTCAGCGCCACACTAGATACTGTAAGTAATCATCATTAAATTATTTTATGAGGTGTTGAAAGTGTGATAAAATTACAGGAGAAGAACCAGAAAGTAAGGTAGTAGGTTTGCAATTATAAATTGAGCGGTCGGTAGGGATTGATTGAGAAAGTGACTGAAATAAGGTGAAAGAGGTATGGAGGGCAGAGGGCATAGGCTGCAGCGTAAAGGCCTTAAAATGTGATTGTATTTGGTGTGTTTGAGAACAGGAGACTGGGGAGGATGGAATGAGGCAAAAATAAGTGTTCAGAGAGGTTAACGACAGGAGTTAGGAGACCTCGAAAGGCCTTGTAGAGCATAGTAGGCACTTTATGCTTAATCTGGTGGACATGAGAAGCTGTCATGTGGTTCTGAGCAAGGAGTGGAGTAATCAGAATGGTGAGAAAAGAATAGGGCAAAAGTAGATGCTGGGAAACCAGTGCGGAGGCTTTAGGAGATATCCTGGCAACATTTTAAGTGTCAAGAAGTGGGTAGCTTGTGGCAGAATATATATTTATATGTATAAATTGAAGCTCTATTATATAAGGAGGCTCCAAAAAGTTTATGGAAAATGTAATTAAAACATACTGAAAGTGTTCCACAAACTTTTTGAAGCCCTCTTGTACCCTAGATGTGGGAACCTAATAAAACAGGTATGGTTCCTGCTGTTTATAAGAGCTCATATTTTAATTTAAGAATTGTTCTTTTAAATTTATCTAAGAATTGATGCTTTTGAATTAATGGTGTTGGAGGAGAATATTGAAATTGCCGTGGGCTGCCAAAAGAACCAACAGATCGGTGTTGGAAAAAGTGCAGCCAAGAGTGCTCCTTGGAGGCCAAGGTAGCCAAACTTCATCTCTCATACTTTGGACATAATGTCAGGAGGGACCAGTCCCTGGAGAAGGATAGCATGTTTGGTAAAGTGGAGGGTCAGAGAAAAAGAGGAAGACTTCCAGCGAGACGGATTGGCAAAGTGGCTGCGTCAGTGGGCTCAAGTGTGGCAACAATTGTGAGATGGCGCAAGACCGGGCAGTGTTTCGTTCTGTTGTGCATAGGGTCGCTATGAATTGGTACCAACTTTATGGCACCAAACAACAAGAATTGTTCATCATGGTCCTCCATAACTTTAATCAAAAGAAATTTTTTAGATTCTTTTTCAAAGTATAGTGACAAGGAAAGAAATGTGCTTGAAAATATATTAACAACACACACATACCATTATAGAAAGGCTTATATCTGATCATTAATATATTTGCAAATAGCTTTTTTTGGTACATTGTATAATGCTAAACAATAAGCTAGTGACATTACAATGAATCTAGAATGTAACTTTGTTGTTTCTTGGCTTAGTTTGCTCCAGGAACTATAATTGATTAAACGAATAGATGAGCTTCTAGACAGACTTTTCATTTCTTTTGGGATCTGGAGATGAACTCTGGCTCTGCCACTTGCAGACTTTCAAACCCTGACTAGTTGTCCACTTTGAGCTTTGATTTATCTTGCTTTCTTGAAAAACCATAATACCTACCTCATAGGGATTGTTTTCTGAAATAAATCTTCATTCTAGCTGTATTTTAAAAATAAGCATAGGATTTCCTGACAAGTTAGATGAGAGGTAGAGAGAAAGGAGTCCAGGAGCATACACTTCTCTGAGGTGGTAAAGGTGCTGTTAGGGGTGAACATCAGATCAGTTAGGGACATGTTGACATCCAGGAACAGATGCCCGGAAATGAATTAAATTAGCTGCCCAGTGAGTGACAAATAATGACTGGTGGTTGACAAAATCATCAGATTTCCTCTAACCCACTGAGTCCAAGAAGAACTGGTTCCCCACTGCTTTCTCGTTCCTACTCATCTCTGGCTCTTTCATTTTACAGCTCCACTAGCATATATGATTTTCATAGGAAGTGCGGGGGGATGGGGGGGAGTCAGAATTTGAATCTAAAGCTGGTTATAGTTATAGGTTGGCATATAGGAGGGCCACTCCTAAATCTGTACAGGAGATTGAATGCTTTTAAGAAGCTGGAGTGAGGAGCATAGAACCTGGGCAAAGGTATCTCATTACAAAGGGTTTGTTAAAAGGTCTCCATGAAGTGTATTTCCAGCTAGATCATCATAGAGAGGGTCTACAAGCAAGCGTTTTCCAGAAAGTGAACCAGAAATTTAATAAAACGACACATCCACTGTACAACTTTTTTTTTAAATGGAGATGTATTAATAACAAATGATAAGATGGAAAGCGGTGGTGTAAATACACTGCAAAACATGCATGAAGGTAGTGACTCGGATAGGAATCACTCAGTCCTACAAAAATACATATAAACAAAATAATTTCCTTCCTTTAGTAAATCTACAAGATATAAAATTGAGAGTATTTACATAAATTTGTACTAGATATGTGAAAAATATACCATACGAGAACAATCTCGTTCCAAAGTTTGAAACATAATTCTGTGAAATAAAAATATTTCTTCATACAATGTATGAATGTATCAATAACTTTGTGGATAAAGTTCTTTATGTAGCAGGGTGTGACAGTCAAATGAAGGTCCCTCTGAATTGTATTTCCATTAAAATTTTGTTTCAACTGGTACCTGGAAGAAGACAGAAGGTTAAAAAGTATAAAAATTTGTATCTTTAATAATCATGTGTTATATTCAAAAAGTAAATATGGCCAATCTTGTCAGAATTAGCAGCCAAAAATTAAACAGAGTCATCAGTATTTTGTCTTCATTTTTACTAACTGAATATCTTCCATTGCCATGTGGTTAACTTAGATCTATGTGATACCATTTTATAAATTCACTGTGTCTTTCAAAGGTCTTAATTAACTTAATTCAAACAACAGTATACTCTTCTTGTAGCAGTTTGTTTCTTCACATTAGTTTCAGGGCCCACACAAGGCACACCAAGGGCTTTATGTGCTGCCCAGGCACTTCTGACACGCAGTGGGTTTGGGTTTTTTGTCAGCTAAGAAGTGCCACCAACCACCTCCCATACTTAGAGACAATAGATTCTTTTCAAGACTCAATTCTATTGTTATGTGGCATAGGGTTTCCAAGGAGCAGCTGGTGAGCTTGAACCTCCGACCTTGTGGTTCAAAGTGACCTTGCAGTCCAGTGCATTTACCCACAGCGCCATGCCGGGGCTCAATTCCATTAGTCTTCCACAAAAGGATCAAGGTGATGTAGTATAGTGAACACAGCGTAGGTTTTGACATTACACAGATCTTAGTTCAAATCCTGTTGCTGTTACATGATGTGTGACCTTAACTTAGTCTACCTCTATGAACCTGTTTCTAAGTTTCCTTACTTGGAAAAATGACGATACTATCTATATTGTAAGGATTAAGAGGATAAATGTAATGTACCTACTACATACCTGGTCTACAGAAGATACCCATTTTATTTGTGATCCTGCTCCTTCCAAACCAGAAACAATGCCTTAAATAATCGACTATTCTAGAATATTAATCACATTTTAAAGAATGGAATATTCTAGAAATGAATGTTCTAGAATGTAACATCAATCCAGTTAAGTGATGACTTGGTAACTCATTCTAGTAGGGAAGGGAAGGAATTTTTATTCATGGCTTTCCATGCATAGTGACACACAACAACTTCAACATACACCTGGGAGTTGTGGGATGAACTTTACCTTCTCAGCTCCACTAATTCATCTGTAAATGGAAATAGCAATCCCTACCCTACCTCATGGATAATTACTGTCCAGAAAAGATGATTTTAATTAGTTTGCAAAGCAAAAACTTAGATCCACATGCTCAGTCCTGCATTAATAGAAATTCAGTGTGACTATTGTTTGCCATTTTTGTAGTCTATTTTCCCCCAGTCTCTGAGATTTGTTGGCATCACGTCACTTTCCCAGGGATGGAGAACAGATGCTCAGATGAGTGCAGCATGTTGGATGAGGCCTCTCTACTTTCAGGCTGTTTTTTTGTTGTTTTTGGGTGAAGAATGGTGGTGAATATTACCTGACATTCCCGATTACGTAATCCTCCATTTGTATTTATGGTGAAGTCATATTTCATCTCCTTTTCCTGAAACAAACAATGGAATTGTGGGCTAAGAAACATATATTTTTTTTAATGTTGAAAAATAAAGGGAATTTTAAGAAATGCAAACGATTGACTATACAAATTTGAAAGTCAAAAAGCTTGTACCTGTACCTGATTGGGACTCAACTTTGAAGTACTGTAATCCTTCTTCATCAAAATATGCAAAACAGCATCATGGATTGTTAAGAAAAATATTGAGTCATTGACTTCGTCGTCGAAAAATTCACACCGAGTAAGTTTTTCAACGAAATCATCTGAATAGAGAAAAGAATAACATTTAGGAAGAGGTTTCACTTCAGACTTCTCTGTGAGGCTGTTGATGTGAATTTCTGTTTGCAAATGTCTATATCATAGTTGGTTGGTTATGTGTTTGTGGGCTGCAGTGTGGTGGTGTAGGACATGAACTCGACCGCAAGATTGATTTGAACCCACAAGACCTGCAGTTCAAACTCACCAGTCACTCCTTGGAAAACTTGGGTTGCGTTGAGTTGGAACCAACTCGACAGCACTTAACAACAACATAGTACAAGTATATCCTTACTACAGTGTCTTCTGAAACTAAAGGATATTTTTCTAATAAAAAAGGTTTAATGTGCATTAATAGGAAGAAGGAAAAGGATCAAACGTGAAAAACTTCAGTAGCTCTTAGAAGAAAACCAATTTACTCCTCTTTAGGTAGGAACCTAGTGAGTTAATCTCTCTACATATTAGATTGAAATATTGAGTTTGGCTTATTATTAAAAATTGACATTGTGCCAAAATAGAATACATACTTATGGACCAGAGATGCACTGTGATCATTGGACCTGTTATTTGCCATTTATCTGTTACCTATTTCCCCAAAGTGCCATCAGAAAACATTTTTCATTATACCTTACATTACCTTTCCAATCATTGAGGAATTTCAAGCATCAACTAGCACTTTCACAGATCTCTCAACCAAATATTACCTTGTGTCAGCTAACTCTAAATCCCTGTTGATTTTAGGTGGCGTTAAGTCATTTCCGACTCATAGCCACCATGTGCACAACAGAACCAAACACTGCCTAGTCCTGCATCATCCTCACAACTGTTGTGTTTGAACCCATTGTTACTGCCACTGTGTCAATCCATCTCATTGGGGGTTTTCCAAGACAGATATGTTTGTTTTTCTGGCAGTCCATGGTACTTAGAATATCTTTTGCCCACACCCAAATTCAAGTTGATCAGTTCTTCTATAATTTTTCTTATTTATAGCCCAACTTTCAAATGGATATGAGGTGATTGAAAATACCATGTATTTTCAAGGTCAGGCACACCTTAGTCCTCAAATTAACATTTTTGCTCTTAACACTTTGAAGAGGTCTTTTGTAGTAGATTTGCCTAATGCAATTTGTCATTGATTTCCTGACTGCTGCTTCTATGAGAGTTAATTGTGGATTCAAACAGAAATGAAGTCTTTTATGAATTCAATCTTTGTTTATCATGATGTTATTTATTGGTCAACTTGAGAGAATTTTTGTTTTCTTTACATTGAGGTGCAATCCATATTAAAGGTTATAGTCTTTGATCTTCATCCATCACTATTTCAAGTCCTCTGTATTTCCAGCAAGCAAGGTTATGCCATATGAATATTGCAGACTGTTGATAAGTCTTCCTCCAATATTGATGCCACATTCTACTTCACATAATCCAGTTTCTTGGATTATTTGCTCATCATACAGATTGAATGTTGAAAGAATATAACCCTGGTACACATCTTTCCTTATTTCAAACCATTCACTATCCCCCTTTTTTGTTTTAACAACTACCTCTTCATTGAGCACAATTAAGCATTCTGGAATACTCATTCTTTGCAGTGTTACCCATAGTTTGTTTTGATCTGAATAGTCAAATACCTTTGCATAGTCAATGAAGCACAAGTAAACATCTTTCTGGTACTCTCTGCTTTTAGCCAAGATCCATCTGATGTCAGCAATGATATCCCTTCTTCTATGTCCTCTTCTGAATCCAGCTAGAATTTCGGACAGATCCCTGTCAATGTGCTGCTGCAGCCATTTTTGAACTCTCTTCAGTAAGGTTTTACTTACATCTGATCTTGTTTGATGATTTTTGCATTCTGTCGTGTTAATTTTCTTTGGAATGGGCACACATAATGTTGTTGTTAAGTGCCGTCGAGTCAGTTCCGACCCATAGCAACCCTGTACAGGGTTTCCGAGGGTGTAAATCTTTACGGGAGTAGAAAGCCTCATCTTTCTCCTGCGGAGTGGCTGGTAGTTTCAAACCACTGACCTTAAGGTTCTCAGCCCGATTCATAACAACTACGCTACCAAAGCTCCATGGGCACAAATATAGATCTTTTCAAATCAGTTAGTCTTTCAAATTTCTTGGCATAGATGAGTGCTTCCAGCACTGCACCAGTTTGTTGAAACATTTCAACTGGTATTCCATCCGTTTCTGAAGCTTTGTTTATCATCAATGCTTTCAGTGTAGTTTGGACCTCTTCCTTCAATACCATTGGTTCCTGCTCATATGCTATCTCTTGAAATCATTGGGCATCAACTAATTCTTCCTGGTACAGTGACTCTGGGTACTACTTCTATCTTCTTTTGATGTTTCCTGCATCTTTCAATATTTTCCCATGTTGTTGTTGCTAGGTGAAATCAAATTGGTTCCAATTCATAGTGACCATATGCCCTGGTGTGGCGCTATGGGTTAATGTGCCAGATTGCAAAGCCATTTGAACTGCAAGGTTGGTGGTTCAAGCTAACCAGCTGCTCCTTGGAAACCGTATACAGGGTCACTATGAGTCAGAACTGACTTGATGGCACATAACAACAGCAATATGCATAACAAAATCAAAAACTGCCCAATCCTGTGCTATCCTCACAATTGTTGTTATGTTTGAGACCATTGTTGCTGCTAGTATGTTCCTCTGTTTTTGTTGACCCTCCACTGTACCAAGCATGATCTTCTACAGGGACTGGTCCCTCGGACAACATGTCCAAAGTACAAGAGACAAAATCTTTTAAGGAGCATTTTGGCTGTACTTCTTCCAAGACAGTTTTGCCCATAGAATTCTTCAGTATTGCAAGTCAAGTCTTCAGTTTTTTCTTCAGTTCTTTCAGCCTGAGGAATGCTGGGTGTGTTCTTCCCTTTTGGTTTTCTAACGCAATGTCTTTGCATATTTCATTACAATATCTGACTTTTCTCAAACTTACCTTTGAAATTTTCTGTTCAGCTCTTTTGCTCCATCATTTCTTCCAGTCGCTTTTGCTTCTGTACACTCATGAGCAAACTTCAGAGTCTCTTTGACATCCATTTTGGTCTCTTCTATCTTTTTAATGACCTTTTACTGTTTTCATGGATGATGTTCTTGATATCATCTCATAAATCTTTTGGGTTTTGGTCATTACTATCTAATACATCAATTCTGTTCTTGAGATGGTCTCCAAATTTAGGTGGGATATATTCATGGTCATATTTTAGGTTCTCATGGACTTGTTTTAATTTTCTTCAACTTCAGCCTGAACTTGCATATAAGCAATTGATGGTATGTTAAATAGTCGGCCCCTGGCCTTTTGTTGACTGAAGGTAAGGAGTTTTTTCACTGTTGCTTCCCACAGATGTAGTCAATTTGATTTTTGTGTATGCCATCTGGTGAGGCCCATGTTGTTTATTTATGTTGTTTAAAAAGGTATTTTCCATAAAGAAGTCACTGGTTTTGCAAAATTCTATCATGTGATCGCTACCACTGTTTCTATTACCAAAGCTGCATTTTCAAACTACTGATCTTTCTTCTTTGTTTCCAATTTTAACATTCCAATCACCAGTAATTATCAATGCATCTTGATTGTATGTTTGATCAATTTCAGCTTGAAGAATTCTTGGTAGAATTCTTAAATTTTATCAACATTGGCTTTAGTAGTTGGTACATAAACTTGAATAATAGTGGTCTTCCTTGTAGGCATATGGATATTATCCTATTACAGACAGCATTGTACATCAAGACAAATCTTGATATGCTCTTTTTGAAAATGAATGCGATGCCATTCCCCTTAAATTTGTCATTCTCAGCATAGTAACTGTCCAGTTCAAAATGGCCAATTCCAGTCCATGTTAGCTCACTAATACCTAGGATATCAATCTTTATGTATTCCATTTCATTTTTGATGACCTCAAGTTTTACCAGACTCATACTTTGTACATTCCACGTTCCAATTATTAATGGATGTTTGCAGCTGTTTCTTTTGAGTTGTGCCACATCAGCACATAAAGGCCCTGAATGCTTTTCTCCTTTCAGGTTTTTAAGGTCACCTCTACTTTGAGGAGGCAGCTATTCCCCAGTTGTATTTTGAGTGCCTTCCAACCTGAGAAACTCATCTTCTGACATTATAACTGGCAATATTCTGTTGCTATTCATAAGGTTTTCAGTAGCTAACCATTCAGAAATGGTATGCCTCTTCTTCCTAGGTGGTCGTAGTCTGGAAGCTCCACTGAATCCTGTCTGCCAGGGGTGGCTCTGCAGGGTAAGGTACTGAACTGTAAGGTCAGTGGTTCAAACTCACCAGCTGCTCCTCAGAAACCCTATCCAAGGTCACTATAGATTGGAACTGACTCAACGACACCTCACAACAACAGTGGTATACCTTCCGGCATCACAGCAACACACAAGCCACCACAACACAACAAACTGACACATGCATGATTGTGTAAATCCCTTGCTGGGTCATATAAAAGATCAAAAGATAAATTACATAGGAATCTTGACCTTAAGGAAAATAGAATATGTATATACCACTACAGCAGAGTATAGGAAAAGTGTTGTATGAGGGGACTTCAAAATTCTGTGGTGAAAATCCATTTTAATACCATTGTTTTGCAAAAATTTTGAAGCCCCTCGTGTAATAATGTGGGTAGGAACGATCTTTTTTCTTAATTCTTAAAACGAATGCCCAGTATATAGTAGGGTCTCACATTTTCATTGACCAAATAAGAGGCAGAGATCATGTGCTTTGGAAATGCTGAGAAACTGGGTAAAGACTGCTATTTCCCATTGGTGGGTATTCAGGAAAACCTGACTAGGCAGGTAAAATTTACAAGAATGACCAGGATTTGGACTTAAGCAGAAACTAGGTTGTTAGGAGCTAAGGAGTGCATGGGAGGCGAGGAGGAAGGACACAAATGAAGGTTACTGTTCTAGGAAATTTACAGTAAAAAAATGGTTCATGTTCCTGTTTTTGCAGCCTATTGAATTAGGAATCCAATTGTAAAGTTAATTGTATATCAATACAACCAAACTGTAAAGATGCTGTTTCCATATGGATTTTTATAGCTATCAATTTGATTTCTTCTTGATGGCCATATAAAATACCTGTTCTTTTGAGGTTGTCTATATGGAGTCCTGGTGTGGCACTGTGGGTTAATGTGCCAGACTGCAAAGATGTTTGAACTGCAAGGTTGACGGTTCAAGCTCACCAGTGTCTCCTCGGAAACCCTATATAGGGTCGCTATGGGTTGGAATCAACTCAACGGCACTTCATAACAGCATATTGCAAATGGAGTCCTGGGGTGGCATTGTGGGCTAATGCTCTGGGCTGCAAACTTGGTTTGAATCACAAAGTTGGGGATTCAAGCTCACCAGTCGCTCCTTGGAAACCCTATACAGAGTCGCTATGGATTGGAACTGACTCCATGACACTTAACAACAATAACAACATATTGCAAATGGACACTGAGCCTGAAGTGATTGTCAGAACATAAAAATCAAACAGCTTACCATCAGTTCCCACAATATACACATCCACCTGGATCCTGGTAAATTCTTGCAAAATCTGTTGAAGAGGAAGTACGTCTTCTTAGGGAACAGTTTTACATGTCAGAAACATAAACTATCCTAATTATAGGTTGTGGGTGATATGTTGCTTTATGGGTAAGATGTTGCGTTTTTTAGAAGCAATACCAATATTGTAAACAAGGTTCTGTGACTGAAAGCAAAACCCAAAGAAAAGAGCTTTCTCTCTGTAAGAAGTTAACACTCTCATTTTTGAGGGAAGTGTTATGGAAAAATGTCTGTCTCACAAAATCAACTTTGACATAATTTTCAAAGGGAATCTTCTATAGGATGATGTAGAGATTTCTATTCATATAAAAAGTAAAGCAAAAACAAACAAAAAACCCCCCAAGGCTCATAGATTGTTCCTGTTTCTATACACAGTGTATCTTAATACTTTTCCCTGGTCCCTAGACTAACAGGAGCTCTGGTAGCGTAGTGGTTACGAATTGAGCTGCGAACCTTAAGGTCAGCGGTTCGAAACTACCAGCTGCTCCGTGGGAGAAAGATCAGGCTTTCTACTCCCGTAAAGATTTACACCCTCGGAAACCCTGTACAGGGTCACTATGGGTCGGAAACGACTCGACGGCACTTAACAACAACAACAGACTAACAGGAAAATCCAGAAGTGATATGAGTAGGTCAGATAAAGTAAGAAAGGTAATCAACTAAATTGATCATTTGTAATTCAGGGGTAGGGAACCTTTTTCTGCCAAAAATTGTAACATCATACGTGGGCCATACAAAATTATCAGTTTAAAAATTACCTTGCTATATTTGGTCAAACATTTAATTAATTTACCCCTAATGATGGCTCTGGTAGCGTAGTGGTTACGAATCGGGCTGCGAACCTTAAGGTCAGCAGTTTGTAACTACCAGCTGTTCTGCGGGAGAAAGATGAGGCTTTCTGCTCCCGTAAAGATTTACAGCCTTGGAAACCCTGTATAGGGTCGCTATGAGTCAGAACCGACTCCACGGCACATAACCACCACCAATGTGATGGCTATGGAGCTATGGTAGTGTAGTGGTTGTGAGTCAGGCTGCTAACCTTAAGGTCAGCAGTTCGAAACTTCCAGATGTTCAGTGGGAGAAAGATGAAGCTTTCAGCTCCCGTAAAGATTTACAGCCTCAAAAACCCTATGCAGGCACACTATCACCACCACCACCACTACCAATGTGATGGTTGAAGTTCTGGTGCAGCACTGTGGAATAAGCACTCAACCTCAGGGTTGGTTTGAACCACAAAGTCGGCAGTTCAAACTCACCTGACACTCCTCGGAAATCCTATTATACAGGGTCACTATGAGTCAGAATGACTAGACGGCACTCAACAACAACAACAACAACAACAACAACAACAACAACAACAACAACGTGATGGCTGGAATTGAGGTTGCCATGGCAGAGCCAGACCAAAAGCTTTCCCAGGCCTTTTATGGTCCGCAGGCTGGACGTTCCCCACCCTTGATTTATATCATCATCAATAAACTTGTAGAACCTCTCTACAAGACACTGAATTAAGAATTAGGCTTTTAAAGAAACTTAAGTCTGAGTCCTTATATTTTGTGCTAAATTTTTAGGATCATAAATAAATAAATAAATAAATAAGAGAGAAGGTGTGTGTGCCACATGCTTGCATATGTGAGCACATATAGTTTTCCCCTCGGCTCAAATAAAGAAACAAAAAGAAGAAAAGTAAGCAACCTTGAGAGTTATGTGATATTAATTGAAGTTTTAGGGAAATGAAATGAATCCCATTTTCTAATTTTTCATCCATTGTTGTTGTTGTTGTTAAGTGCCATCCAATAGGATCCAACTGATAGCGACCCTGTATAGGGTTTCTGCAGAGCAGCTGGTGGGTTTGAACTGCAGACCTTGTGGTTCACAGTCCAGTGCTGATCCTCCAGCTCCACACCAGGAGTCCCATTCACCCATACTTAATAGTAATTAGTTCAGCTCTTACATAAACAAATTTCTGTGGAGACCCAAAAAGGCAGGACAAATGTAGAATTTCTTAAATGTTCTTTACATCTATTTCTGCATTTCTATTAGAAAGTATTACATGAATGCTGACAAGACTGTAGGAAGAAAACAGATGTCAACCTCATTGCGTCAGTCCTGTTTTAAAAGCATGTGAGACATTGATTCTTCTATTCATCTACTTGACTTTTTTTTTTTTTTTTTAGACAAATTGTTAAATAGCCAAGTGAAATTTCATCTGCTCATAATGGGTGATGGTAAAAAACAATTCCTTTTTACTCCAGAACTTTTCCCAATCTTTTCTGATTTCAAGACAATTTGGATACTGTGTTCCTAGGAATACGAAGATACCATAGAACTGATATTTGGTAGAAGTGTAAGCACAGTTGTCTATCAGCAAGTTCAACATCTGTTAAGATTGTAATTGTGGTTGCCTTCAAGATTTCATGCGGCCCATGGAAATGTACTTTAAACAAGTTCATTGAATAACGCTACCGCCATGGAATGCACTAAGATTACAATTTCCTTCTAATTATCATCTAAAGGAGGGAGCATCCTTCCACAAATACAAGTTTTTACCTTTAGGCTTTAATAGGTTGTTTGTATTAAGAAAACAGAAATTACCGTTTTGAGACCTCTCATTGAAGAGATGTCAAGAAATGATACTGCTGAGAAATCTAGAATGAGGCTATGGAGGCTGATTTTGGGGACCACAATGTTGAGAGGAAGATCTCCATTCCAATCTATCTGGAAGGGCAGGTCTGCTGTGTTGATGGGCTGATCCAGTTCTTCTATCTGATTATTGTCCAGCTCTTCATCGGAGTCTTTTAAGTCATCAACAGTGCATATAAATCCTTTCTGTAGGAGAGGTTAGAAATCATGTTCACATTGTATATGTCGAAGATTACCAAAGAGTTTCTGAAGCACAGATTCAAAGCTGGGTCGAGCAATGGGGTTGTAGACACTTACCTTTGGTACTTTTCCCAGAGGAATTAAGTTTTTAAGGAGTTCCCCAAAGGCACCGTTTAAAAATATTGACATTAATGACAATCTAGCCGGCATTTCATGTAAGGGAATTGAATTAACGCTTGAACTATATTTTACTAAACTTTTGGTTATAATGCATAGAAATGTGATCAAGAAACTTACTGGTGTTACTTGGAGTAGGCCTTTCTTCTGCAACTTTCGAATTTTCTTCAAGGCTTTATTGCGTTTTCGTAGAATCCGAAGTGGACTAAAGCCAATCTGAAAAGCACGTTTCTGTGTTACAAGATTACTGAATATTCTACTACCTATATAGTTTGATTGTATTAACTTTAACTGGGATGGGTTGAGGGATTAGGACAAACAAGGTATTTGTGAAAAATTTTTAAAGTGGTTTAAATGATAATATTGTATCAAAACTATGATCTAATCAGTTTATATGTGGATCTCAACACATGTTTATCCATAAACCATCCATCAATGTATCTAAACTCTATTTAAACATGCTTATATTTGAGCTCTGGTAGAGTAGTGGTTACGAATCGGGCTGCGAACCTTAAGGTCAGCGGTTCGAAACTACCAGCTGCTCCGTGGGAGAAAGATGAGGCTTTCTACTCCCATAAAGATTTACACCCTCGGAAACCCTGTACAGGGTCGCTATGGGTCGGAACCGACTCGACGGCACTTAACAACAACAACAACATATTTGATCTACACAAAGTTAATTTTATTTCATTTATTTTCCATGTGTCGCATAAAGGTGGTATCTAGTTAATATTTGGTTTCTGTACAATTTTTACTACATTAAAGTGATATATGAGTTTATTCTTATAATATATACTTATTCATGTTTTTCATTTCATAATTTTAGTACTTGTTTTGGGAGTAACTCTCATGTTCCCTTTTTCAAAACAAGTGTGTCCTGATTGATGCAATATTTACTCAGAACAATAAATATGGAGGAGAGGGTTGTATAATAAAAAAATACTTTAAAAATATAGTCAGATAGGAAGATATTAGATGAAATGAAAAGGTGCAGTATATAAAGTTATATAGACAATATTATCACACTTTGTATAAAGTGCCAATCATGGAACAGGGAATAAAGTGTACAGAAGAAACACATCCAGTGCATACCAAAGATCAGCACTGGACTGTGAACCACAAGGTCAGCAGTTCAAACCCACTAGCTGTTCCTCAGAAACCCTACACAGAGTTACTATGAGTCTGAAGCTACTCGACATCAATTAACAACAGCAAAGACCAAAGAACAACAGAGTTTAAGGCAGATGCTGTATATTGCAGCTATAGAGCAGTCCGAAAGCTATGTTTCTAAAATCTTGAAATTTAGTTCCTTGTTACTACTTCACTTAGTATTTATAGTTATTTCGTATTAAATATTCATTTATAACTTGTTAAGTGCCATTAAGTTGGTTCCAACTCATAGTGATCTTGTATAGGGTTTCTGAGACTTTAAATCTTCGAGGGAGCAGAAAGCCTCATTTTTCTACTATGGAGCCACTGGTGGGCTTGAACCATGAACCTTGTGGTTTTCGGTCCAGTGATTAACTTATGGTGCCACCACTCTCCTCCACTTATAACTAATATCTTGAATCTCTTCAATGACACATTCAAATATCTAATACTTTCTTGCTGTTTCTAAATTTGTGCCTGAAGAAAATCTGTAGGATACTGCCTATATAAAAGCCAGCATCCCCAAAGTTGGTGAATATCTTTACAACAGAATTTGGTCAAAGCTGACTCTATCCCACACCTCATCGGAAGAGGCTTCTATCTCGCATACTAACACAACACACCCTTTATATGTTTGTTTGACTTACTTGGGACATGAAACACAAACACAGTGACAAAATCAGCCAAACATTTGTGAAGTTAGTGATCCTCTCTTTAAAGAACAAAAATTTCTTTTCAGAAATTCAGTGGAACCACACAAACACATATACATATTAAATAACCCCAAACCTTACAGCATCAATAAGTTTCTGCTTAAAGAAACTAATATTTGCAAAGTAGATAGGAGATGGGCATCTGAAGATTTTCACTCCTTCCGGCTCATAGATCTAAAAGGTAAAAAAGTGAGATGAGATGGTATCTAAGAAACTCATGTTAACATCACTTTGCAAGTTAAAGTAAAAAAGAATTTAAAAAATCTTACTTACTTCAAAGTAATCTTTTTTATTCTTATAGATGTTGCTTCTTCCAACATTAGCCAGTGTACTGCATTTTGGACTGTAGGGAAAATCAACACCAACTGAATCACTCACATGCATTTGTTAGACCTATAAAGCTAACACATGACTTTTGTTCCTAGCACACCAAAGCAGGCTTACTCTTCCAAATTTGGAAGGTTGGGGAATCGCTATGTGGGCAGAGAGCACAGAGGGCCAGCACTCTGTTGTACTCATCTTTTTGTCCTCCCACACAGCTGCTAATACAGCACCTACCATAGCACTGTTTATAAAACGCTTCCATAGGCTTTTGCCATTTTGGTTCTGAATATCGTGATGGAAGACAGATGCTATTTTATAGATGAGGACATGGAGGAGTAAAATGACTGACTTTTTCCACTTAGTTTGTGGCGTCATACTTGAAAGGTTCCCAGCAGAGAACGAATGAACAAAAGAATATGGGATCATTTTAATACAAATATATTCCATCCATAGAGGATTAGATTTAGCGCTGATAAAGACACCTCTGTTCTTGAATTCTTTAGATCCTAAGGAGCCTTATGTCTCTGACACACCTTATAAACCAACATAGACTAAGTGACCACATGGTGGTGATATTACAGCAAAAATTAAAAAACCAAAAAGACGCTTGGACTGGATCACTACTAGGAATCAAGAATTCTAAGTGGCTTTGTGGAATTAAAAAATTATCACCTGTCGGTTTGTCTTATGGTGGTGGTTTGTGTGTTGCTATGATACTGGAAACTATGTCACCAATATTTCAAATACCAGCAACGTAATGTCACTCATGGTAGACAGCTTTCAACAGATCTTTTAGACTAAGGTAGACTAGGAAGAAAGGCCCGGTAATCTGCTTCTGAAAGTGAGTCAAGGAAAATCTTATGGAGCACAACAGAACATTGTTTTACGTGCTTGCTTTGGGCACATCATCAATAACAATGGATCACTGGAGGAGGACATCAAGTTTGTTGAAACAAAGGGTCAACGAGGGCTAGAGAGTCCCTCTGTGAGATACATTGGCACAAGAGCCACAGTGATGGATGTGGGCATGCTGGCGATTTAAGGATGATGCTAGACTAGGCATTGTTTTGTTCTGTTGTACAAAAGGTTGCCAAGATTTGGAGCTAACTCAACAGCAGACATATATCTGTTTATCAGCATCTTTCTGTTTGTCTATCTACCCATCCATCCATCTATCCCCGCATCTATCTATCTGTCTATTTTTGTGGAATTTTAGGACAAGAGGTCTTTGAGAAGTTCTCCACTGCAGCTCCATGTTTTTAAGGTGAGCTTACAATCTGCCTATAAAGAGAGTACTAGGCATGGAGAATCCCACACTCCTCACAGGAACACACTCTCTTGTTTAACAAGTCAAAGACAAAAACATTAAACCCTCTTAGAATACAATTACTTTTGGTTTACAGCTGGGCAGACAGACTCAGAGCTTTATAGGATTTCTTTGAACTGGGGTGGAAGCAGGGAGCAGACCAGCAGTAAGGTTTGCTAAGCCAGGTCATCCTGATACTCTTCACGTGTGGAGGTGGCTGAGGACGAATGGACTAGTCAGTCTCAACGGACAGGCATGCCTATCACCCAAATGGCTTTTCCCATAACCAATGACTTTTTTTTTTTTTTTTTTCTCTTTTGCTTTGGGCAGGTCAAAGCCTATACGAATTCAGGCAGGACAGAGTGAGCACTCACAATTGCGTCCGGAACACGATGGTTAGGAGCTGAAATGCAATGCTAGCTGCCAGGCCTAGACCGAGTCCCAGGACAATGGCACAGATGAATGTCACGATCCAAATTAACTAAAAAGAAAGCAACATACACACTACAATTCACTTTGATTAAAGTATAATGTCTTAGGTCCAGAACTCTGAGAAAGCATGAACTTCTGGGGCTAAAAGCAGAAGTTGGGGGTTGTAATCTTGGGTTAGAGAGCAAGGTGCATACAGAAGGACTTGCCTCAGGATCTGACTCTTGGAAAGCAAATATGAAAGGATCCACAGAGTGTATTCATTTCTAAGCCCATTCCTAGTCCAGTTAAAGAAGTGACTGTATCTCTTTGACAGTTAGAATTCCAGACCAGCCACTTTCATTAAAACAAGCAAATTAATTGGTAGACCGTGCTCTAAGCTCCTTTAGAAAAATTACTTTTTATTATTTTTGAGAATATGTACAGTAGCACTTCCATCACTTCAAAAATTTCTACATGGACAACTCTGATAGTGATTATGTTCTTTGAGTTGTTAAATCATTTTGGTCCTTCTTTTCTCATTTGTTCCCTCTACTACCCTCTGACTCTTGGTCTATTGGTTTTATTAATGGCGACTAGCTCTATGAAAAGGAGCTCTGGTAGCGTAATGGTTACGAATTAGGCTGCAAACTACAAGGTCAGCAGTTCGAAACTACCAGCTGTTCTGCAGGAGAAAGATGAGACTTTCTGCTCCTGTAAAGATTTACAGCCTCAGAAACCCTGTACAGGGTCACTGTGAGTTGGAACTGACTCCACGGCACACAGCCACCACCACCACCATCTCTATAAAAGGAATCCTGGTGGTGCAGTGGTTAAGTGCTTGGTTGCTAACTGAAATGTCGACAGCAGCTCTGTGGGAGAAAGATTTACAAGCTTGGAGAATTTATGGGGTAGTTCTACTCTGTCTTTCAGGGTCAGTACGGATTGGGATTGACTCACTAGAAGTGGATTTGGTTTTGCTTTATTGCCATAAAAACTTTAGCATGCCAAAAGGGTGTTCAGATCGCCAACAATGATCTATTGGGAACAAAAGAAAACCAAGTGAACCATAGTATTTTATGCTTGTTAAGTGCCGCAGGATGTGTTAACAGCACTTTTATGCCAAACTTTGACCCTGATATAACTATGGATTCTATTTATCATAAATAGATACTATAAAATATAGTAAAATAGATACTATAAAAAGGAATATTTAGAATTTAAGTTCTTCACAGATTCTCTGGACACTAATATATTCTGTAATGAAGAACAGAACCAATGTATTCCCCCAAAATCAGAGTTTCTGTGGCCTTTGGCATGACTGCAAGAACTTTTAGGATAGATGTAAGAAAGTTCTGTATTTTTAAGTAGCCCATCCTATGAAAGTGAAATCCCAGAGAATGATCATTAGAAATACTACGGAGCCTCAAAAAGGTCGTGGGAAATTTCATATTCTAGTAACTTCTTGAAGCCCTCTTGTACATAGCCTCACGACAGCTAGCAACTAAAAGAAGCTAGGATTGCTACGAACAGATAGAAGGATGGAATTTCACCTGGTTTATAAATATTAATATGCATTTTACATCAGCATTAAAATGCTTCTCTGATTGATCTGTTTTTAAACTACCGTTGTCTCTACTTACACAGTCATATTTATCCTTTCGCCATAGCCTTCTGATTTCAGTAAATTGCATCAGCATGCCTTTTAAATTTCCAAGCGCTAAAGCTGCCAAGACAGACTGTTAAAAACATAAGCACCAGATGTACTTTAAGTTATTCAAATAAACCATATAGAAGCAAAGGTGAAGGTTATAGATAAGTAAGTCCTTTAAAGGGCCTCAAAGCGTATCAAAGGACACACCCTTTTCCGGTGTGCAGAGGCCGACCAGACATTGGAGATTGGAGACTCTGACCTGTCCCCCTGCATGACTGTTGCCGACAAAGCAGCCAAGGCTGAACTGCCCTTTGTGGTTGTGTCATGAATGATATGGTGGCACTTAAGAGCCAGGGAGTCCTGATGTGCTGTAGGATAAGCATGGAACTGCTAACCACAAGGCCAACAATTAAAACCCACAAGCTGTTCCTCGGAAACCCTATACAGGGTCTCTATGAGTAGGAACAGATTCAACGTCACTTAACAACAACAACCTTTGGACAGAGGAAGGCAGATTTTCCGCACATGGACAGTTCAATATGTGTCTGTTATTGGAGGTGGGGACAGGGGATTGGTCTTTGTTAAAAAAATAATTTAGGGAGCTTAGGATTCTGGTATCTAAATTCCAACCTTTCATGAAGGAACAGAAATCAGTTCACTTTGAAAGAGGAAGTCAAAGGTCACAGAGAGGTTAACAAAGATTTGGTGCAGATTCCCAAGGACAGCATGAACCATGCTATATCTTGTTCCTTGTGCTGTCCCTGGAAACACCCCCCAGCCCCCAAAACTCCAAACCAATCCAATTGCTGTGTGATCCTGTGTGTGCAGAGTACAAACTTCTCCACAGGGTTTCAAGGCCGTGTCCTTTCAGAAGCAGTTTGTCAGACCTTCTTTGGGTGGCTTTCAATTGTTAACCTTTCAGTTAGGATTCCCACCTAGGGAGTCCCAAATGCACATGTTGTCAGTTGCCACTGAGATTCCAGCTCATAGAGACTCCATGTTTTCAGAGCAGAACTGCTCCACAGCCGTGTAAAGGTTATAACCTTTTGGAAGCAGATCACTATGTTCTGAGGTGCCTCTGGGTGAGTTCAGATTCCCAGCCTTTCAGCTAGTACTCAGGTGCTTAACTGAGCCACTCAGGGATTCCCAAATGTTGTTGTTGTTGTTCTTGTATGCTGTCAATACCAACTCATAGTGAACCTATATTAGGCAGACTAGAACTGCCCCGTAGGATTTCCTAGGCTGCAATCTTCTGGACTTTGAACTACAAGGCTGGCCATTCAAACCCACCAGTTGCTCCTCAGAAACTCTATACAAGGTTGCTATGAGTCAGAACTGACCAAACGGCACTTAACAACAAGAACAACCTTTGTTGGGGACTGAGCTGCTAATCCCATGGTCAGAAGTTTGAATTTACCAGCCACTCCGTGGGAGAAAGCTGAGGCGTTCTGCTCCCATCAAGATTTACAGCCTCAGAAACCCTTTGCGGCGTTGCTAGGAGTCGGAAGTGACTCCACACACAGCACACACCATCATCACCACCACCAATCTTTATGGGGATTTCCTAATGTGCTGCTTTAGTGTAAGCACTGGACTGCTAACCACAAGGTTGGTGTTTCAAACTTACCAGCCACTCTTGGAAACCTTAGACAGGGTCACTGTGAGTCAGAACTGACTTAACAGCACATAATAACAACAACAGCAATAGGGTCACTATGAGTCGGAACTGACTTGATGGCAGTGGGTTTTCAGAGCTGTGCAGTGAAATCTGTGAGAGTCAGGAGAACTTGACTGCCTTGTTTTGTGTGTGTCTCATGAGTTTTCTGCCTTTGACAGGAAGCAGTGTTCCTACTTTCCTATTGCTTGTTTTAGTGGTAATTCTTTTGGTTTCCTCCCTCTGACAGGCTTCCACCTTACACAGGTTCTGGCCTTTGACGGTTTTACCATATACCAGTTCCATGGGTGTCGCAAATGGTTAAGCATTTGTCTACTGACAGAGAGTTTGGGGATTTGAATTTATCCATAGATTACCTGGAAGGAAGGCCTGAAAGTTTGTTTTTGAAAAGATCACAGCCACTGCAAACCCTACAGACGCAGTTCTACTCTGAAAGCAAATGGAATTGCTGTGAGTCAGAATCAACTCTAGAACAATGGAGTTTATAATTGTGTACATAGTAGGATTCCTGGTATGGCACTATAGGATAATTACTGGATTGCTAACCACAAGGTTCAAACCCACCAGCCACTCCTTGGAAATCTTATACAAGGTCACTATGAGTCAGAACTGACTTGATAGCTCTTAACAACAATGGCAAACACAATACACAAAAGTACCCATAAACCACTCTGAGGGAGAAAGTTGTGCCAATCTGCTTCTATACAGACTGCACTTGGAAACGGTGTGGGGCAGTTCAGCTTTGTCCTATAAGGTTGGTATGAGTTGGAATCCACCCCTTGGCAATGGAATAAGATGGTACCATTAAGGGAAACTGAGTGTATTCTTGGTGTAACATCTTGTGAGTCTATAGTTATTTCAAAATAAAAAGTAAAAAGAAGAAAATGAAATTGCAACTGATAGTTAAAGGTCAGTATCTTCATTCCCTAAAATTCTCCTTTGGGAAACGTTGCTTTTTATATAGTGGTGGTTATGTGCCATCAAGTCGGTTCTAACTCCTAGCGACCCTGTACAGGGTTTCTGAGAAGCGGCTTGAAGTTAGCAGTCCAGTCCTTATCCTCTATCCCCACACCAGGACTTCATATAAAACTTGTTAGAATTCTGGAGCATCATTTTGTCTTTTCATTCATCATTAATTATTTCCCAATTGGCCAATACGCCATAGAAAAAGAACTGGAAAAAATTTACAATAAAATACACAACAGAAAACTTGAAAAAAGATTACAGAACATTGAGAAACCATAGAAAAGAAAGGAGAATAATTTTATCAGGAATTTGGGATTCATTCTGCAATTGATAAAGATTATTATTGTTGTTGTTAAGTGCTGTCAAATTGGTTCCAACTTACAATGACCCTGTATAAAGTGTCTGAGAAGCAGCTGGTGGGTTAGAACCAATGACCTTGCAGTTAGCAGTCTGGTGCTTATCCTAGAGTGCCACCTCAGGACTCCATAAAGGATTAAGTGCATATACAACATGCTTATAACTCTGCTGATGTTTATTAAGCATTCAAAAAACATGCTAATTCAATACTATTATGGAATAGTCTTGTGTGGTGTGGCACTGTGGGCTCATGCGTCAGACTGCAAAGTTAGTTTGAACCGCAAGGTCGGTGGTTCAGGTTCACCAGTTGCTCCTCAGAAACCCTACATAGGGTCACTATGGGTTGGAACCAACTTGGCACTTAACAACAACAACGAAGCTGCCCTCCTATGATAATACCATGCACACCAGCTATTTAGTTGAAACAAAGACACTTCTGGCACAATGGCCTACAATAGTTTATCACATGGATCTTTTGAAGAAGGGATTTTGATTAATAGCTTGGAGAATGTCCTCAGGTGTGATTTATTTAGGAAGGAGCTAGGATTTTAAATGATAGTTGTTTATTTCTGTAAGTGAATATGGGCTGGGTAGCTCCCAAAGGTAGTGTGTAGAGACGCACACGTGCCTTCTCTATGTAATTCTCTATGAGGACTAGTGTGGTTATTTTTATTACGATAACTCTCCCATAGCATTTGTGAAATAGAAGACTTCTTGATTCCTTTCATACCTTTCATTTTGAAACCAGTAGTTTAGTAGCGAGAACACACACTTTTTGGCAAACAGAACTCAGCCCTGCTTGAAGATCATTTGGACCAGTGAGGGTTTTTTTTAAATTACTACACTGTATGTCCAGAAATCTTGGACCAAGTTAATCTTTCAGTCATCAACCACTAGAAAAAAACTCTACACAGCAATCAATGACACCAACAGAGACATGTTGGACCATATCTGTACATTTTTTGTAATCAGAAATGGAATAGAATATTGGTACAATGATAAGAATCGTACTAACAATACTGGCTATGATTTACCAGGTGTCCCTGTAGCACTGTAGGGTAAGCGCTGGACTGCTAATTGCCAGGCTGGCAGATCAAATCCTCCAGCTGTTCCTTGGGAGAAAGATGAGGTTTCCTGCTCGCATAAAGATTTACAGCCCCAGAAACCCTCTCTAGGGTCACTATGAGTCAGAATCGACTTGATGATAGTCGGTTTGGGGGTCCTGTGCCCTGGGTGAGTACATCATGTGCAACTTGCATTCTTCCACTTGATTTCCATAGTAACTCTGTGAGGTGGATACTATTCTATGCTTATATTACAAATGGGGAAACTGAGGTACAAAGAGGGTAAATAATTTCCCACAAAACAAATTTGGGAAGGATTCGAACTAGGTGTGTAGGACTCCAGAGCCAGTGTTCTGTGAACTGCCTCAAAATCATGTTAAAACCACAAAGGGCCATGTAGTTACCATTGTCTGGTTTCCTATAGGAGCCCCTGCCTGGAGCCAACGGCAGGTAGGTGATTTATAGTCACCCACCCATCTAGCAGCGCCATGTCACCATGAGCTGTAATTGACTAAACAGCAAGGCGGTTGGCTTCGTTTTTTCATGGTCCTATGCTTCCCAGGCTCTGCTGTTACTATGATTTTTAATCTGAGTGCTGCAGAAGTTTACAAAGTGTTAGACTAAGAGGGAGAGAGAAACATGAGGAAGCGTAAAGGTTGTGCCTGGGCGGTAGCTCAGGCTGCCTGCTCCCCTCCTGCAATCTGACAGTGTTGGTCTTGGAGTCAGACCAAGCTAGGGGAGCTGGAGGGCGTTTTCCTAAGGACGAGTTGTGTGGCTGGTAGCACCATTCCCTGAAGGAGATAGAGAACTGGATTGCCTCAAATTTGAGGAAAATCTTCACTTTGGTCAAGCCTACATTGCCAGGGAGCCTTCTTTTGTAAACATTTGTAAATATTTTGGGCAACAGATATGTGAAGAGTAGAGCAGATAAGTTTGGGCATCTGCATTCCAAACATTCATAAAACACTGCCGAGGGGAAAATAAATATTTTCAACCCATAGAGTATTGACTAAGAAGCATACTTGAGAGTTGTAGCTACTTCATTTCCCCTAGTCTAGTTTGTGTTTTCAGACTTTAAGGTTGGTGCAAATGGTTAGCTTGCATGGCTGCTAACCGAAAGGTTAGAGGTTCAAGTCTACCCAGAGACACCTCAGAACAAAGCTTGGTGATCTACTTCTGAAAAAGTCATTGAGAGTCCAATGAAGCACCATTCTATTGTGACACACATGCGGTCACCATGAACTGGAGTCAACTAGATCTAAGGCAAATAGTCTCCAGTGTTTAAGATTCAGGGTCCTTGATCCATTACCCAAAGGAGAGAAACGTTATTCAAAAAGAGATAACCTTTAAAAAAAAAAGAGAGAGACATTACCTTTTGTAGTGGCTCTAACAGAAACCCGATGGCTACAATGACAATCAACACAATCATGGCAGAGAGAAACCCGGCAATCTGTGAAGACAACAACAACAAAAAGTCTTGTCACAAATGTGGCATTTTCCCTGCTCAGACACCCAGTTACTAATGCTAGGATGGCCTTGAAGTACCTGTGTTTTGCCTCCGGTACTCTCCTGAACCCCTGATCTGGAGAGGGCAGTACTAGACGCAAATCCTCTGAAAGATCCTGTGAATATGTTACCCAATCCCAAGGCGATTAACTCCTGACAAGAGAACAAGGAGAGGAAAGCACCATTACTGTTATGTACACAAGAAAGTTGCCTAATTAGCACCCGTGCTTGTTGTATACTTACCTGATTGCCATCAAGTGGATAATCGTATTTGAGGGAATACACGCTGGCAACTGAAAAAGCCACTGCAAAGCCAACGATGGCAATGGCGAAGCTATCTCCTATGGTCTCTTGGAAAACCGCCACGTCAGGTGCAACAGGGGACTGAAATCTAAAACAGAAACGAAGCAAGCCTAGGTGTCACCAACGTGCTTACAATTCTTCAACCACATCTATTTGCTTTCAGGAAAAGTCCGAGCTCAATCCAACTCCTCTAGCTTAATTGCTCCAATTTCCTAAATTTATACTCCAGCCAGACCAAGCTTCTTTTTGTTTCTTGAAGGTTTTTTTTCTTCTTCTCATCTCAGAGCCTTCTAATGTACTAGTGTTCCCTTTGCTTGAATCATCTTTCCATCCAGATAGTCTCCCTTGTCCATAAGGTCAGAGTTAGGCAAGATTCTCTGCTTCTCCAGCTCTTTCTGGGTATCCCACACACTGCCTCATAACTCTCCACCCAGACTTAGAGCAGGGACTGGACTGTCAGATTCACTGTCTTATGTCCAGGGTTGGACATGCTTTTTGGCATGTAGTAGGTGATTTGGGGGCAATGAGTGAAATCTAGATTGAGTTGTATCTTACTTTGGATGATCACCTACAAGAATTTAACACTACCGAAAATTTTTAGAATCTGCTTATTGTTGAAACTACTGCTGCCTGAATTTGATACAAGATTGCAAAGATAGCAGTAAGTCTATGTGTATGCCAGCATAACCACATTATAATGTAAACTTATATCTCCATAGGCTTCACGCAAAATATCCTAGATTCCACTTGTGTTGTTACACTGAGTGGCAAATCATTGCCCACGATGCTGCCAGGAGTTATTCATGGTTGAAGGTTTTTGGAGCAAACACAATTCTGAGCCAAGGAAAGCCAGAAAGTCCTCCCTTTACTGAAAAGAATCACCTTTCATGGAAAATCCCATGCAAACAGATGAGTCGTGGACTTTGTCTTGTGCTGCAACCAACTGTGCTAGAGTGTTGGTGTTACGTGCCGTTGAGTTGTTTCTGACTCACAGTGATCCTGTATAGGGTTTCTAAGGAGCGGCTGGTGAGTTTGAACCATCGACCTTGTGGTTCAAGCCAACCTTTCGGTCCAGCACATTAAACTGAAGCACCACACCAGGACTCCACGGTAAAGTGATTGTTGTTGTTGTTGTTGTGTGCTGTGGAGTCGGTTCTGACTCATAGCGACCCTGTGCAGGGTTTCTGAGGCTGTAAATCTTTATGGGAGCAGAACGCCTCATCTTTCTCCCGTGGAACAGCTGGTAGTTTCGAACTGCTTAGTGTCACAGAAGCTTCCAACTCATAGAGATACCTCTCTGTGTTTGCCTCATGAATTTCCTGTGATTAAGTCGCTCCTTGGAAACCCTATTCAGGGTCACTATGGGTCGGAACCAACTCGACGACACTTAACAACAACAAAAATGCTATTTACTATTTGTATAATAAAAAATTCAAATATCTCAAACTTAGAATCCTGGTGTGGAGGTGTTGTGCTGTAGGATAAAGCACTGGACCAAAAGGTAGGTTTGAGCTACAAGGTCAGTGGTTCAAACTTACCAGCCACTACTCAGAAACCCTATACAGGTTTGCTATGAGTCAAAACCAACCCAATGGCACTTAACAACAACAACAACATCATCCATTACTGAAATGCTCAGCTCTTGTGAACATCTACCTCTGACCTAAAACGTATTGTTGTTGTTAAGTGCTATCAAATTGGTTCCGACTCATAGCGACCCTGTAAATGGTTTCTGTGGCTATAAATCTTTGTAGGAGCAGAAAGCTTCATCTTTCTTTCTGTGGAACAGCTGCAGACCTTGTGGTTCACAGTCCAGTGCTTATTGTGTTGTTGTTGTTGTTGTGTGCCGTGGAGTCAGTTCTGACTCTCGCGACCCTGTACAGAGTTTCTGAGGCCATAAATATTTACAGGAAAGCCACATTTTTCTCCCATGGAACTGCTGACCTTGAGGTTCGCAGCCTGATTTGTAGCCACTACGTGCTTTTTGTATTAGAAGAGGATTAATTGAATCCATTCAGCTTTTTCTGAATTACTTCAAGTTTTGTGAATATCTCTGCTCATAAAATTTTAGCTCTAATTTTGAAGAAGTGTAACTAGCTCAAGAAGCTCTGGTGGTGCAATGGTTAAGCACTTGGCTGCTAACTGAACTATTGGCAGTTTGAACCCACCAGCATGCCAATGGGAGAAAGGACCTGGTGACCATCAAGATCACAGCCAAGAAGACTAGGGGGCAGCTCTACTCTCTCCTATAGTGTTGTTAGGAGTTGGAATTGACTTAACAATACACCACCACAACTACCTCTATCTCGTGAATCCAAAAGTTAGCTTGTAATCTTGATTCTTAATAAACCTGAAGTGGCAGTACAATTAAAATGTTCCTTTTATACCACAGCTACAAGGAGCCTACTATTATTAATATTTTGTTTTGGCCTCTGAACCCCAGAAGAATGATACGATGGAGACGAAGAGTCTGAAACTTGGCTTTACTCCCTGGCTCAGCCTTTTCTCCTCCCTGAGCCAGTTTCTTCATTTGTAAAATGAAGACAGCAATGCCTCTTCTCTTTCCTTCATAGTTTTGTTGGAAAGTCAAATAAAATAATGAATGTGAGTGCTGTTTACACACTATAAAATACAACGTGCCTGGCAGGAATTTTTATCAGATCCCTTTCGAGCCTAAATATATCCTTTGTGTTTTCTTTCAATGCTCAGTTCCATTCGCTATCTGCTTTCAATATATGTTACTTCACAAAAGAATTTCTAAGGTGGCACACTCATTAATAGCAGACTAAAAACAGTCATTGGTATCAAGCCAATTCCAGCTCATGGCGACCCTGGAGGACAGGGTAGAATGAACTGCCCCGAGGGTTTCTATTGTTACATTGGGCATTGGGTTGTTAAGAGTCAGAACTAACTTACAGGCCTATACAACAACAA